CGTGATGTTTTCTTCTTGAATTCCCCCTGAAAAATATTTGAACCATTTAAAATAAATTAAAGAAATAAAAAATTTTCTCTGTTGGTGGCAATATCAAAAACAAAATAATAAAACTCATTTAATGTTTAATAAATATTTCTTTATTCAATTTCCTTTTAAGCTAGAAAAGTATAAAAAATTTACAAGATTTTTTAACCTTAGGACATGACTTTATGCTTTTCGTTGTTACATTTTTTTCGTGTTCTCTGCTTCTCTCTTCCGGTTTGCATTTTAACTGTTCAAAGGAAAATTATGAAGACTTCAAGTTGTCAAATTGACAATGTTCAATAAGGGCCTCTCCTATAGTTTAATTCAGTAATTTGTCTTGTCACGAGGCAGGTGCCTTTGTGTTTACTACATCTTAAGTTCAATTGCCTCAATTATCATTCATGTTTTTGTTTATGAAAAGGTTGAGTCCATTATCGTGTCTTTTCATCTAACCAACAAAACCTGCAAGTAAACGAGTCACGAGTCGGCACTTAAACTACAATAATAATGCGACAACATCAACAAAATCATTTTTTAAGTTTGACATCATTGAATTCATATATTTTCTTCTCATCATCATATTCTTATACCTTTCATAGAACAATTTCTAAAAAATTTCATTTTCATGCTTAAATTATGTAAATTACACTAATATTTGAAATAACTGGAAAGAAATGGTAACTTATTAGGTAACTGAAGATGATTGATGAATATTCGTATGTAAATCGAGATATGAAAAGTTTTGAAATGTTAGTTTGAATCTTTTTTTTTTGTTCCAGAAAGAGTTGTTAGAGATCATTTTTCATGTAAATTCTTTTCGTGCCTAATATTTGTCGGGAAGGGTTTGTGCAATATTTGTTCGTGCTGTTTATAAGAAAATTAAGTAAAATGTACAAAAGAATGTCAATGTGTGAATTATTTATCACTTCCTTATTTTTTCATGCTTTTTCATAAGAATGACTCATGAGTGTGAATAAAATATTGTAAGCCACAGTTGACATTAATTTATCCTCGTCGTGGTGGCAAATATTCTCTGTTTGGTGATTGTGGTGATCCGGCAGTTGGGTAGGGAGAATCAGCTTGTGGTGGGAATCCTTGGGGTGGAACATAAGATGAAGATGGCACATTGGAAGGTGGGGCAGCTGAACCACCACTTGGGTAAGGTCCTTGGGTGCTAGGATATTGGGAAGGGCCAGAAGGTTTGAAACCAGCAGGTCCAGTAGTTTGACCTGTACCAGGGTAACCTGAACCGCCTGTTGCACCTGGATAGTTGCCACTACCAGCTGGAGCTGAAGGCTGGTAATTTGAAGGGCCATTTGGATATGAGCCGCTTGGACCTGTAGAACCGCCACCGAAGCCAGAATTTGTAGGACCTTGTGGACGACCTGCATTTGGATATGGAGAGTTTGAAGCTCCGCCACCAACAAAGTCATTAGCCACACCTCCTTGATTTTGCCCTTGCCCTTGTCCATTATTATTTTGTTCTCCATTTTGTGAATAATCGTAAATGTTTGCATTATTAGCATAAAGGCCTGGGGCTGAACTACAATCAAATTGGTTCCACCATACGCAAACTAAATGTTCTTGAGAGAAAATTGTTCCATTTGGACAAAGAAAATCAAAAGTTCTATTCATTGCACAGATATGGAATACTTGACAACGAGTATCAACATCAGCATAATATCCTGGAAATTCTTGTTGACTGCAATCAAATGAAGTTTCAGGAATTTCGGAATAAATTGGATAGTCAGTTTCGGGTTCTCCGGGAATAGCGGAATAATCTCCTTCTTCATTCTCATCTTTTTGGATTACTCCACCATTGTTGTTGCCACCTTGATTTCCTTGAGTGTTGGGTCCATATCCATTGCCAGTTGGTCGTTGCTGTGATCCACCATATGCTGGCTGAGAACCAATTGATGAAGGGCGTTGTGGTGCTGTGGCTGGGCCTGTAGGTCTTTGTCCTTGACTTGAAGAAGGATAAGAACCACCGGCAGTAGGTCCCTGAGTGCCAGGATAAGAACCGCCTGTTGAAGGTGTTTGAGCTGATGGGTAAGGCTGACCTGCAGAAGTTCCACCCTGTGGTGAGTATCCATTTCCTGACGGACGTTGTGATGGATATCCAGTGGTTCCTGAAGACCCTGAAGGAAGTTCATCCATTTGAGGTGGGTAGTTGTATCCGCCACCTGACACTTGATTAGATGCAAAAGAAGATTGAGAGAATGTTGGATTGTTAGATGTTGGTGGAAAAGCAGTTTGTGGACCAGTTGAACCTTGGAATCCTCCTGGACGGCCAGAATTCTCCGGACGATCGTAATTGTAACCATTTTGAGCCTTTTCGAATTAAAATTTAATTAACTCAATTGACTTAAGCATTACAAGTTGTGCGAAACTTACCAAACCAATTCTCAGGCAGCCTGCCAATAAAACTGAAAAGAATAATAGTGAGCTTTAGAAAAAGATATTACAAATCTTCTCATTGACTAATTTGAAAACAAAAAAAATTAATATAGAAACAGAAACTAGAAGTGTGGAGCTTTTGTTACGATGAAAACATGCAACCGGATACTTAACATGACTCTCATCATGAGTTGTTAAAGTGTAAAAAATTGCATTGTAAAAAAATAAACCACAACTGCTTTTATTATTCAATTGTCAGCTATCTTAATGATGATCACACCAACATTTTAGAGAGATTCATAAGAATTAACGCTTTTAGTTCAACACCTTTGTCAAGGTTGCGACAATTTCACGACTTTAATATTCATTAATTTCGGAGCAAATCTATTTATAGCGAATTGGAAAATTGGCACAGAAATATCAACTTTTGATTCTCGTTTCATGTTTCACCTTCTCAAAAATCATATTTTCACGTGTCGTGTCGGAGAGATCATCTCAATTGTACATCATTATTCGTCTTTCAATATTTGAAGCTCGAAATTGAATCTGTCTTAATATTATCTACCAGAAAGCTATTGGAAGTTCATTGATGAAATGGATGAGTAACAGAAATTGTTTCGCAATCATCACCATAGCCAATCAAGCTTAATTCTCTTTCATATGCATGTGCGCTCGTGAACATCTTCATGGACTATAAATTCATTTTCTTTCCATCTTTGAACATGTTTATACTTATCAAAGTCAAGTTATGAGTTTTCATTGACCATCAAAGTCTAAAAGTACTGAAGTTGATGCAATGAAACAATCAACATGTTTATGATAGCAATAGACATAATAGATGCAACTTGATTTATCATGCAAAATATCTTCTGAAGTCATTTTAGCTTCTGATTTCATACTTGTGAATTGATTGATTTGCTTTATGAACAAGAAAGGTTATTGGTTTTGTTAACATAAAGCATTTTTTTGTTTCCATTGTCTCATAAAATGTAATGAATAAATGCGTTTTGGAAGCTGTCATGAAGAGAGGTCTCACTAAATCTTCATTCATAACTGATATCTACTTAGTTACTTGCAAATTTTAATTTTTCTGCGAAACTTCAAATCTTTTCGAAACGATCTGTGTGTTATCGAAGTCAGATCACGAATTACTTTTTCTTTTATTTTCTGTAACACTTTTTGAATCTTAACGATTATATAAGAAAACGAGTGAATTTTTGATGAAGTTATTTAATCAAGTCGTTTATATCTCTAAACAACAAAAATTCCTTTCTCACCTGTTAACAATGATAATTGTTGCATATTGTTGGGTGCTGATTAGATTAAGAACTTTAACTGATACTTTTGAAACACAAGAAATCTACAAATTGAAAATTTTTGTTACTTGTTTAGATTTTTTATAAAATTCACTTAATTTTTTTACTAAATTCAAGAAACTATTTTTTTCCTTTTTCTCAAATTCACTTTCATCAATTTTTCATATCTCACCTCGTCAATTGACGAGTGGTAACCAAGAATGATGTGATAAAAATTAAGGACTCGAAACTTATTGAAAGCTTCCACAGTTTAAGCAGAACTGATTTGAATTGCCGTAAAACTCATTCTATTTATACACGAAAACATTCCGAAAACTATCGCAAAGCGGCAATGTTATTGTTAAAGTGAATGGCATAATATATTTTCACGAACTATGCCATAGTTTCGATATGCTACAATATATCTCGGCTCTGCTTCAATTGCAGTGTTAATAAGTGAACACCCACTCCACGTTGTCTGAAGCAATATTCTCAAGCGCCAACAAACACCAACGTAAATCACTCTCATTTTCAGATGTGATTCTTCTCATTGCAGCACATTTTAAGAAGGTGAAATATTTATGGAACTTAACGAAAGGGAAAAGAGAAGAAACATGATGTTGTCTGCTGTTTACTCAGTTGTTTGTGCATCACAATAAGTGGGAAAATATGTTACATCGTGACTTTTTATTATATTCACTTGCCGTTATCTTTACTTCATTATTTAACATGAATCTTCTACATTGCGTATTTTTAAAGTTCTAATAAATAAATTGAATTATTAGCAAAAAAATTCTTCAACTAATATTGAAATTTATAGCATGGCGCGACCTTTCAATTTCTTTTGGACATTAAATTCAAACAGCTCACGACTAAACAAATTAGATCACGTCGAAGACGACACAAAACATTTCAAGGACAACAATCTCACATGCATCATTCAATTTAACATTTCGCGAACGACACTTGAAACAAGTTGTTTTAATAGTTATTGAAAGTATGATCCAAAATAATTAGTAAACCTAAAATGATGTACAAAGTCACTTTGAAGATTAAAACAGTGAGGCAGTTCTACTTAATTGAATTAAATGCTCGTATGAAGATGCAGTTTGCAATTTCAAAAATTTACACTCGACTTAATACTAAACGAAAGCAAATAAAATTGTGCTTAATTTAGTTTTAATGTTAATTTAATTACCTAATTGATCGTACCCTCGCATTTTAGAATTAACAATTCTAAAACATGAAATAAGTTGTAACTTCTGTTACTTGTTCATCAATCAAGGATTGACAGATTCAATGAATTTATTTTGCAATTTTATTAAACATTTACTTCAAAATGAGTAATTATGATAAATTGTGAACATTAGAATGATTTGTTTGGATGTAAAAATATGTCTCGATTATACACTAAATCGTTTCGTCACGTAGATAATTTTTCAGTTTCGGAAGGTTGCAATTATCGAGGTAAAAATTGCATCTTTACTTGCTAGTCGTTTAGTACAAATCATAACATGAGATTTTATTTTAAATTTTTTCTCAAAGTCTCCTCGTGATGACTGTGAAGCCATTCCGAGAATGATGATTCTTAAATGACCAATATTAAGTGCAATTTGAAAGCATAAATTAAAAAATTTCGCTCACGGCAGCTCGTCTCGATGTTCCATTTCCAAACTAAAAAGAGAATCATTAGAATTAAATCATTGCATGAATGTTTTTATGCAGATTTTTGCTTCATTTTTAAATATTCAGCAAATACTCTTCATAAACAATGGCTACAAGCTCGACATTGTGTATTGATCGTGAAAAAATCATTTTCATTTTTTGTCTGACAGAAGATGGCTCGACTCTGTCAAAACGTTTTCGGTCATGCTTTAAAAAACATATATTGAATGTGGAGTGTAAGTATTTATTGAAACTTCGTTGAAGAAATCTTCGTGAGGCATTTTTGATCCATTTTTCACAGTTTAAAGGGTCTGTCATTAAATGACGTCAATTATTTACTTTCAAGAGCTTCCCAAAGGGAATAAATTTGTGAAGATTTAAAATAATTTCTCAATTTTTATAATAAACGAGACAGAATTTATGAATGCATCCTTAAGTATGCAGATTGTGTTTGTTCATGATTTTCATAGGTCAGTATTTAAAATCCAAGCATCATGCAGCATATGAAAGAATATTTAATGGTGCAACATCGCATTAAGAAAGCAAATCCATCTTCGCATCGCACTACTGACTTCTCATAAAAGACTCAATGATTTTGAAACAGTTAAAAGAAGTGAAAATTTCGAGAATGATATTTCAATGAGATGAAATAGTCATCAATGCATTCATGCTAACTGCAAGTTAATTTATGGTAAAGAAGTTACATCTGATGTAAGTAAATAAAAAGCGATGGAAGTGATGCTGATGTGAAATGAGATTATCAGAAATTCCATAGCTTTGTTGATGATATAATCTTAACACTAATTGGACATTTCTACATTTCTATTTTATGTTTATCGCGACAATTCTTTTCAAATTTGCACAACTTCATTCATGAATGAATTTAATGTTTTGATTCTTTCTTCGACGATTGATACAATAATTTAATTGAAATCGAAGTTGTGAGAAAACAGAATGAGATGCTGAGAAGTTGTACGAGTATTCAATTAAAGAATATAAATCACTGCAAGGTGTCATCTTCAACATCTACAGCAATTTGTTTCGGAATTTTTAAATGACTTGGTAGCTCCATCGTCAGCTATAATGTTGCAAGATTTTTCTTAAGCATTTGCACAAGTATTTATCTAACCATTTACAAGTCAACTGACAAAGAAACATTTCTAAAGAAATGTAAGCTATGCAAATCAGGAAGCTTAACAGCTTGTCTCGAAGCATTTGAAAAAAAATCTATGGAACAATGAAAAGAAAGAAGAATGAAACGAACTTTCGTCTCTTCTTTGGAGAAACTTTTTATTTCTACTTCATTTCAAGGTTTTGTTCTCATGTCACACTTTTCATTATAGATTTCCAACATTGATAAACATTTTAAAATTAACTTTGCATTCGATTCGAATTATGAAACTTCATAACGAATTTTACGGATGAGCTTTCAAGTTATAACTTCTGATCAAAAGGCTCATAAAAATAAATGCTTAGCAATATGTTATTCAATTTATGACTTCATAATTCATTTTAATTAAAACATATTTGAGTGTAAAAGTGAGAGTCGAATGGTATTTTAATATTGTACCACGTGCCCAAGTAATAAATTATCATAAATCAAGAATTTAATTAAACTTTTCTGTGTTGAATCAAAAACAATTAAATTCTCTTAACTTTCGTCTCACATTTTGAAGGATGAAAATTTTTTATCGTTTAGAAATTGTAATTATGACATTCAATAGATTGATGCGACAGTTTTGAAACAAAATTATGAATCAATCGATTAATTGTCTAATGCATTATGCAATGTTTTGTATTATCTCATCAGGAAAATTAAACATGTTTATTAGCGATGCGCAAAAGTCAAATCGTTTCTTAATGATTGGAAATGTCAAAGCATCATTTAATGTAAAACAAATTGTAGAACTCATAACATGACATTTTTAACGCCTTAGTCTTTATGAGTTTTAAAAAGTTTTCATTTTATTGTTTTGTTACTGTTTTCTTGTCACTCTCGTGCAGCAATTATCGAATCAAACTAAAAATTTTACGATTAAATCTCAAGTATGTTAAATATTTTTTAATTGGCTACAAAGCATAAAATCATGTCAGTTAAATGGATGGTTGAACAAATTGATGCGGCAGCTGAAAGCATAGAATTCAACAAACTTACAAGTGCCAAGTTAAGCTATTAAGCAAGCAAAAGTTATAATTTGCACGAGTCACATGAAATGAAAAATTATGACTGAGTAAACAGTTCAACCCGATGCGAGTCTTCATCTTCTCCAATTGTTTTGTCTCTTCTTATTAAATGCATTTGAGAATGATCCACGTCTTGTTGGTTAACTTAACGAATTGATGTGCATCAAAAATTAAAATTCAGATTTGAAGACGAATCAACGAGTCAAGTAAAGTTCAGATTTATATTAAGATGCTTCTGACAGAATTTAAAGAAGCATATTCAAAGCATAATCGTTCCATAAATCTGGAATCGTGAGTCTAATCTCTTGATTCGAAGCAATGGATGCAAAGCAATTGCTACGATAATTTCATAACAAATAATCAAATGATGTTGACTTACAAATCTTAATTTCAATAGAAAAACATGAAATTTGTTGCAAATACAGATTGTGATCGGAAGTTGAACTTACAATTTCTTCTGCTAATTTGCTGCTTTTAATTATGTTTAAGATTTTCAAGATAGTTTTCAGATTTCTCAAATTTCTTAGCCAATTACTTGATGACAACCTTGTCCAATCGGAATCATTGAAATGTTTACATACCTTCCACTAAATATGTGTTATGATTAATGTTGTTTCCTCAAAGATGTTCGCTTACATTACATGTAAAAGATGTTGAAATTATTCATTTTTATTGTTTAAAGATCGACATCAATCTTTTAGATTTCAGATGGTAATCAAGTGACCAGTCGCATTAGAAAATTCATTCGTTTGTCATCTCTCAAAATTCTTGAAACATGTTCAACTATTGAAAAAAAAACAAATTGATTGTCTGACGAATTTTATCATGTGTAAAGGAATCAAAAGCAATCATACAATAAATACAACAGGTATTGTAATTGATTTCGTTTTATCCCACAAAACAGCAAATTGAAAGCTTTTACATGAATAATTTATAGTCAAAATGATTAGTCGGTACGTTGATGTTTCGAAGTCATCGATTCATTTGAAAATATTAAAACCAAGATTAGTTTACTGAAATCAGTTCAATGTCATCTTCGTTTTCAAAGGTAGAAAAATAATAAGAATATTATGGAAATTCAATTGAGTTTCATAAGAAATCTTTAAAATAGTTGGAAATGAATTAAATCTAAATTAATGAGATAACTTACAAGGAGAGCCTTTTCGAAATCAGATCAATATTTCGCTTTCGATTGTTTTAAGATTTTTCGCTATAAACTGTTCATGACTGCAAATTGAATGCAATTATTCAATAGACATCCAGACGAGACAATCAAACTTATTCATTTTTAAATAATTGTCATCATGAAATCATTTAGCATCTTCAATTTTATAATTGGAAACTTTGAGAAGGGCGATCAATCAAACCTGCGTTTGTTTTTCAGCTATCGACCCATCAATCTTTATATTCCAACAATTCGAAGAACAATGAAAATCGATATAGGAAGAACATCTCATGTGCATTCTGAGTTACACTTTTGTAAATGCCATTCACGTAATTTAAAGCAATCAACAATGTTGATGCGTTGAAAGATTTCAAAAAAAGCGCAACATAAAATATTTGAAAAATTAGTAAATTGCGATTCACTTTCATGATTTGCCGTCATCCACGTTCATAAATGTTTACTCATTGCCATGTGTTGCATTCACATAATTATTTTCAAGTTTATGATGTTCTCATGTAGGTACGTATGAAGAAAATCTCATAAATCATGTCATGCTTAAGCATTAAGTAATCTTATGCTTGCATTCCGTTTCTATTCGAACTTAAAATTATTTCATATCATTTTCAATTTAGATCTGTAAATGAACAAAAGCACGAAGTCCACAAAAATCAATATTTTCTACCCATTGCAAGTGTTCTCGTGTCATAATTGTTCCAATAAATTCATTATCAATGGTCAGATGACCCCAAAGTTCATAAGTATCTCTTAAAAATAGACTTGAAAAGGTATAAAAGTTTCTAAGCTCTTAAGCTTGCCATCAGTCGATGGTTAAGAGTCTTAGAAAGATAACAAAATTGAAAATGCTTCTGCTTGTGGTGTTGCCATTAATTTTCATTGAAAATGTTGATTTAAAGTTTATGAGATCCGATGACATTCTGAGAAATTTGATTACTTATGACAGTGTTCAAGTGAAAAGGAATCACGAGAAGCTTCTAGGGAATGCTTTCGAAACTCAATATTATTCGCCCTTCAAAGCAATCGCGAATTCATCGAATGACACTGAAAGTCATCAAATGAAATTGAGAAAAAAACCATCAATTAGATTTAAACGTAAAACTGATTCAACTTTTCGTGGTCGACCAAAGACAATTCAAGAAGTTTGGTCTCGAAACTTTAATATTTCTACGCAACAGTTTAGCCAATCAACAAGTCTTGTGACATTGATGAATAAAATCATTTTAAAATATATGTCCGCATGCATTCCAGTTATTCTTTATGATGAATATGTTGAGAAGTCTGAAGGTTTCATCTTGCTACGTTTGTTTCAAAATTTTCCTACATCTTTTATTCACGGTAAAATTGGGAAAAACTTTACGATTGAAAATGATATTTTGCTCGATCCACCTCATATAAGATGCCGATCTTACATCTTGTTTGTTTCTGATGCACTCAAAAGCAGACAAGTCGTTGGGCCACAAATTGAAAGCAAAGTTATTATCGTCCCAAGATCAACGCAATGGAAGCTTCAAGAGTTTCTTTCATCACCACTCTCAAGGGATATTATAAATCTTTTAATTATTGGTGAAAGTTACTCAACTGATCTAACAAAAGAACGCCCTTATGTGCTTTACACTCATCAATTGTATGTTGATGGTTTGGGAAGTAACAAACCAAAAGTTTTAACATCTTGGCTAAAGGGAAAATTATCTCGACCTCACATTGATTTATTTCCCGTCAAGTTACGTAAAGGATTTGCTGGTCATCGTTATTCTGTTGCAGCTGTAAATTTTCCACCATTTGTTTTTAAGAAGCTTTCAACTGATGGCGTTGGAAATCTTCACATTGAATGGTAATTAACTAAATGGTTTAAACCAAAATATAAACTTTTTCTGTATCAATCAGGGATGGATATGAATATCGAATGCTTGAAGTATTGGAAAAGAAATTAAATTTCACATTCGAGGTCTCTGAACCAAGAGAACTTGAAATGCTTGGGTAAGTTGAACAATTAAACCTTGATTTACTTTTTTTTATTAGAAATTATTCGAAGACCTGGTGATGCTGTTGGATTATCAATTTCCAAGAGACAACACGAAATAGGAATGTCAGGAATGTATGTGACAACGGAGAGAAATTCGGGAACAGAAATGTCAGTTTCACATAGCACTGATTGTGCTGCATTCATTACATTAACATCAAAAGCTCTACCAAGATATCGTGCAATTCTTGGACCTTTTCAATGGTTTGATTTTAATTTAGAATTCTTCTTGAAATAAATTTTATTGATTTTGATTGTTTCAGGCAAGTTTGGGTTTGCTTGACTTTTACTTATCTCATCGCTATCATTCCACTGGCATATTCTGATTCTTTATCAATCAAATATCTCATTGAAAAACCTGGACAAATTGAAAACATGTTTTGGTAAGTAAAATTTTAATTTTTTATTGAAAATTTTCTTCATTTCTTTTTTCAGGTACGTTTTTGGAACATTCACAAATTCACTGACATTCAGTGGGGAATTGAGTTGGTCGAATTCTAAGAAAACCTCAACAAGACTTCTCATAGGTAAGAAAAATCATTGCGTGACTGTGGAAATATTGCCTTCCTTACACAACAAAATATTAATGATGTTCAAGGAATGAAATGTTTAATAATGACTCAACATTTATTTAAAGGTTTCTATTGGGTGTTTACAATCATCATCACGGCTTGCTACACGGGATCGATAATTGCTTTTGTAACGCTTCCAGTCTTTCCAGAGACTGTTGATACAATCAGACAACTAAGAAATGGATTTTATCGTGTTGGAACTTTAGATCGTGGTGGATGGGAGCGTTGGTTTGTTAATTCTTCTCATCCAGATACTGTCAAAGTTTTGCAGAATCTTGAATTGGTTAAGAATCTTCAAGAAGGCTTGGGAAATGTCACTAAACCATATTTCTTGTTTCCTTATGCATTTATTGGAAGCAAAGCACAATTGAATTTCATCGTTCAGACAAATTACAGCGATGACAAGCTTGGCCGACATTCAACTCTTCACATTAGCGATCAATGTTTTGCACTCTTTGGAGTTTCATTTGTGTTTCAACGCGAATCTGTTCTTCGTGACAAGATTAATCACGGAATTTTAATTCTTCAACAGAGTGGAATCATTAATAAGATTAAAAATGATGTAAGATGGGATATGGTGAGATCGAGTACAGGAAAATTACTTCAGATAAGTGAGGGAAAAACTCTGAGAATTGCAAATCAAGAAGAAAGAGGTCTAACGTTAGCAGACACTGAAGGAATGTTTCTTCTTCTTGGCATAGGATTTCTCATTGCTGGAGCTGCTTTAATATCAGAATGGGTCGGAGGATGTACAAATAAATGCATGCAATTTATGAGAGTTAAACGGGAACAAGAAGAAGAAACACATCGAATCGAAGAAGAAAAGGAAAATGCGCGAGTTGAAGCTGAAACTGCGAGACTTGCTTTGAAATCAGCATCATCAGTGATTGGAATAACTTTCAGTGTGAAAACAGAAGATGAGAAAACGGTGCAAGATGGAAATGAACCTCAAGAATTAAAACCAACTTCTGAAGTTTTATCGGGTTCATCGAGAAATTCTCGTCACAGTCGATCGGATTCAATTACTTATCCGGATTTAAATGCTGCAATGTTATCTGAAATGTATCACGGACCTAAAACACGAGCATCGAACATCATCATGATGGATGGAAAAATGATGAGCGAAAGTGATGCAAATGAGCATGCAAATCAAATGAAAAAAGACGACGAAATGAAACAACGATTGAGTGATGGAGGTTCAGGTGAAGTTCTTCGAGACTTCGACTTTTTAAACAATGGAAAAGATGAGGATGCTGATGAAGATAAAGACAACAATGTCTCTCATCACGTTTGTGAAGTTGAAATTAATTTACAAGCGCCAACTGATACTGAATTCGATAATTAAAAAATATTTAATCCAGAATCATGGAGAAGTGAATGTTTTAACGACAAATTTTATTCCACTTAAATAACAATTTCATGCACATCTTCTTTTGTAAATGTTTTTATGTTTGCTCATTTGCTTTCATACAAAAAGAAGAAAATGAAGATGCATAAATTTTAGTAGCTCGTGCTACCTTCAAGTTGTTGCGGAAATAAGTCGAGTTTCACGAAACTTTAAATTGCATCATGAAAATCTACAATAAAATAAATTCATTAACCTAAATGCATCAGCTTCTTTTTTAATGCAATCACAACATTATTATGTTCAATTATAGTTAATCAAGTGTCTTAAACGGTTTCGATACCAAAAGGGTTTCTTAATTTTCATTAATTTATGATCAAATTTGAAATCAAAGAACTTAGTTCAATAAATTGATTGAAGTTATTTGAATGAGAAACGATTAAAAAATAATTAAAAGGTTAATAATTAATTTCATTTGATTTAATGTATGAATGATGTATAGAAAGCCTTATTAAATCATTCAGCCTCATCTGTTGAGAAATAAATCAAAGCCAATTTGATGAATTAATGTTAACCTAGTAAGTTCTCCCACAGCATAGATAATCAGTGAAACACTTAAAATAATTAGAAATATTCTAGATGCACATTGACGCAATAAAAATTTCAATTAGGAATTGCACAAACTCATTGTCATCATCGTTTTTTATTTCAACATCAAATGAGATTAATTGAATTTAATAATCAAACATGATCATGATTGTCACATCAATTTCGATTCATTGCAAAACAAGTTTAAATATGTTCTTTAATTTCACATCATGTTCTTCTTTCGTACATTGTTGTAGGTGTCGTACTTGGAATACTTTCAAAACATTAAATAAATAATTGAAACACCAAAGATTAACATTTTGTTTGCAATTTGCACTTTATTTATCTTTCGTCAAAGGAAAAATTTAATAAATTTTAAATGATTATTGAAAGGAAAAGACAAAACTACTTCATACTTAGATTTTTGGATAAATTTTATTCGTTTGTTGCATTTTGGGAAGATCCATGACCAAAGAAAAGCTCTGTGAGCTTACGTGCCTAATACAATAGATATTCAGATACTTTATTAAGATTCAATTTTTAAAAGCTTTCAAAAAAAAAAGGTTCACGAATTTCTAAATTTTGAAAATAAATGTCAAAGTTTAGCAAATAAAAAAAGCTAGAAAATCACAAAGGAAAACAAAATTTAATATTATTCACTTCTTTTCCCTAAGATCTTACAACCTCATCATAAATAAATCAAAAAATCTTAAAATCAAAACGTTTAAATTTACCTACATACTAATCAACTAATAATTAAATCATAAACAAAAATAAAACATTTACAAAGCTTGTAAGTTACGTATCGTGTCTAAAACATCGACTTAAACAACTTCCTCACTAGAATAAATTTCTGTTTGCTTTTTAAAAGCTTCAATCATAAGTTTCTGTTTGATCGTGAAAATATTTTTGTTATTATTGCATTTTCAGATAAATATTGCGACATTATGAATCAACAATGTTGAAACAATTCAACATGCGTCGTTCATAATCTCTAAAAGAATTCGCTTAAGATTCTCAATGCCAGTAAGAAATCCAGCATCAGGACCGTGATGAACTGTTTTACTGTCTTCAATTTGTGAAATTTTAATCAAATCCTTCGATGTAAACGTCGTGTGTGCAAAATCAATGATTCTTACATCAACGAGTGGCGACGATTTTGTTTGTGACATTTTCTGTTGCATTTTAATTAAATCCTTATTGTCACCTTTAATTGATCTTTTTCTTTTGGGACTTGAATGTTCTTCTTGATCACTCGTCGTTTTAAAGAACTTCGTTCCACTTGTATCACTTACAATAATCGTGTCAATCGTGTTACTCAATGATGACAATTGTTCATCGTCAGCATCATCATCTTCTTCGTCATTTTTCAGTTTAACTCTGCAAATATCAGAATTGTTGTCTGCCCCTCTTTCATTATTTGATTTCTTACTTCTAGGAGTGATTAACGATGTTGTCGGATTTGATTTCGAATTGGTTTTATCATAAGAATCATCATCAGTTATGCATTGATTTGCGTCTTCATCATGTACAATAATATTTTTATCTTTAGACTCATTAATTTCCTGAGACGTAAATTCGTCACTACTGTTACTATAATTAAGCCATGAATCCATTGAACGTGGTGAAAGTGCATTTCCGTTTGGCAATTCTAAGTAATTCTTATCGGTGCTATTAAGATTTTCGGAGTCGTTAATTTCATTTGTGTCATCTTTAGCAGAATTTAATCGAAGAGTTGTCTCTTCATGCGATGTGTTCAGATCTGTTGAGCAGCTCGATATGTCAGCGTCGTAGTTATGGGAATTCAAATTTTCCTGTTGTACTAATTCACTGTCTTTACCTTCATAAACCAGAAGCAAAGAACTAAGAAACCTGTAATTAGTTTATGGCCTTTTTCAAACGCATTTTTATAATTTACCATGAATAAAAACGATAACTTGAAAGCATTTTTATCACACTATGCAAATGTTCAAGGCGTGCAAGTACTTTCTCAATGACTTTCGTTCGTAACCGTATGCCGTTGTGGAAGAACTCGTAGAGAGCGTCTTTGAAGTCGATTTCTGTTAATTTTCGGCCCCAATACTTATCACGTTTAATGAATTCATCATTACAAACATTAAACTTTTGAAGCCCACAAAGTCTCATGCCAAGTCTAGCTGATGTACTTGCAGCACACTTTGCTATTTGTTTTGTTCGCTTTTCTGCTGATGCGTCGTCACCGTGTTGTCGGGTGCCCATTTTGAGATCAAGTATGCAAGGTTGATGAAATTTTGACGTGATATTTTCTAGCATCAAGAAATCTGGAATTAAAAATAGATTTGGATATGAATTAAGTGAAAAACAAAAAAAGAATTGCGTCTTAAGAACAGAAGAGTAAATAAAACCAAAAATATTATCTTAATGTAAATCAAGACTTCAAAAGAAAAAAACAAAATTGAAATTATTATTTGCACGTGTTGCTGCCTTATCAACAGTTTTACGAGAAGTTTATAGTGCTTTTACTAACATTGCTTATTTGAGTTGTCAGAAGATGAAATACTTCGAAGAACTTCCGCTGCATTTCCATTTTTATGAATCCTCATTCTGTAAAAGAGAAAAATAATAAAAATAAAGAAAATTTTTGGATTAAATTTTAATCTTGATTAACAATAACTGAGGTTAGATTAAAATAAATTTTTTTAAATTTAAAAATGTCTAAAAACAAGTCATGGTACAATAGACAATAAATGATAGCAAGATACCCAATTGAAGAATAAAAACAATTTGAAACTAATGGTTTGAAATGCTTACCGCAAAACATCATCTCGTTTTCTTTTCGATGAAGTTTGACGCTTCAGTGATTCGCTTTCCCGAAAGTTTGGGCTGTATCGCTTTTCCCATGTTTCACCTGTTGTTGCTTGCATAACACCTGAAAATCAACAAACAATGTCAACAGAAAATTATGGATATTAAATCACGATATTTGTTTCTAAAATCAACGAAGGTCAAAGTCGTAAATTTTTCATTTTTTTTCTCATATGAAGTGGAAATGAATGAAAATGGAAATCAATGAAATTTATTTTGTATGGCGCACAGACACAAATAGCACATTTTTCTCATTCCTCTATAGTCATCACATGAGAATTCGAATAATTAAAACTTTTTAAATTGGTTGGAAGATTAATTAACTCATTAAATAATATATTCATCGATTCAATCAAACTAATACGACAATAAGGAAGTTATTAATACTCACCTTTATATTTTGGAACATAATCTTGAATGTCGTTATCTGGAATGTTTTGGTAAAATTCCAATTCACGAAAATTTAGAGGTTTTATGACAGTTTTGTCATTTAACAACAAGAGACGCGTATGACCTCCAACTTGATTTGACAAAGGATATAAATTAATTTCATCTTTCTTTGAATTTTCATCATCGTCATCACTCTCTGAAGAATTCGTTTGTGAAAGAATACTATGAGGTTTAAGGAATTCGTTTATTGGACTTGATTTTCTTGGGGTTGTTAGACTGGAAGAATTAACATGTTTGTTCTCAACTGAAGATGAAGATGAATCAGAAGGAATCTGAGCTTTAAAATCTGAGACTATTGAAGTGCTAATAAGACGTGTTTCTTCATTCTTTTTGTTGTTGTAATTTGGAAGCGTGAGCTGTGTCGATGGACTCAGTATATCTGTTTTAGTTTCATCCATCCAGCAAAATAATTAAATGACTTTGAAATGTTGTCGTTCATCCAAACGCAGAAGAATATAAATAGAAAATGAATTTCTCTTTTTTCCTTTTCACTTTTGACAAATAGTTTGAATTAAATATTCCTTTATTAGTAACTTAATCTTTTCCTGTTGACTTAAACTATTTTCTCTTTTACCTAAAAAAATAACACGAAACTTTTTCCTCTTTTTTCAAATCTTGCACAATTACAAAATTCAGGTTTAATCCTTCATCAAATTGTAACAGCCTGAGTCACATTTAATTCTAAACAATTGTTTTATGATAATTTTAGCCTTCACACTTTTTATCAATTGCCTACGACCGAACAGACTGACGAAAAATATTTCCAATTTTATTGAAAATTTTTTTCGACCAAAACAAACGCCAGCGGCTGACATTTGACGGCACACTTAACATCAACGTCGAAGTATTTTGAATTTCGTTTCGTCGTTAAATTATCGTTTAATTATCCTCAACACTTTCTTTTGTATGCATTGTTATTTTTGGAATGTTGTGTCAAACTATTTGACTCAAATACTTGAAATATGCAACAAGTAGATAATTGTAGAACAGCTGATGAAATAAATTTCCAGTGAATATTTATTTCAAATTTCCTAGCAACGAAATGTTAATGGAAACGGTTGCATTTTCATATAAACAACTCTTCATTGCAATGTACTTTTATACGATATTTAAAATCTAGATAGGAAAAATGAGCAGATATCTTAAAAATCTTCATAAACCTTGCGATAAATTAGATAAATACGATAATGAGCCTAAGAGTCCGTTTCTCAACTTGAAACTTTCTGATATAAGGAAATATCGTCGGCATAGTCAGTTCCAACAATGTCCACTAAAGGTAAGAATATTTCTTAATGATATGTGAATTAGTAAAAAGTAAGAGTAAAGTTTAGTTTCAGAAACAACCATCTTTCAATGATGATGATGAGCCAAACCCAGCAATTCCACCAGAAATTCACATTGCCAAATTGCGTTTCTATGCAAGAAATACGCCGATTCCTAAGATGCTTAAAGTTACTGAACAACAAATCTTCAGCTTTTTACCAAAGCGTTTGAGTGATAATTATCCAGAGATTGTTGCTGATTACATGTCTGAAGTTCATGAAGAACATGATCGTCTTGTAAAAGGGTTCAGCATGTATAAGCTTTTAAAGCCATTGCCTGATGATTTCATTCCAACTCGTGACGACTTTCGATTTAAACGTCTAGGAAAATCAAGCAATTATAATAATTACTTGAAGAATCGTGAAAAGATTAAGAAAAATCTTATGCTTTTGTATCCTTTTGTCAGATGTATAAATTATCATTCAAATATTGATTTCCCTGAAATCTTGAATAATTTCGGAAGATATCGAGCGATGGGTGAACTGGGAATTCATGACATTCGTGATTTCACAAAGAAAGATCTTGCTGAAAATTCTGCATTCATCAAGAAAACTTTTTATCCAAAAATCATAAAAATAATACGAAATCACTATGGAAAGCAACTTAAATATCAACTCACGCGCAATCAGTGGCAAAAAGCATGGAATTGTGCAACAGGTTTAATAGCTCGACAAATAAACAATCTTAAAATGCGAACCATTGAACATTTGAATGAAGTTCTTCTTAAATCTACACAAATTCCTTTTCTTAAAGTCATTGCGATATGTGAAAGTCACATTGATTTATGTCCAACACTTGATGAAATATTTGACATGTATCACAATTTTATCGACATCATTAATGAGATTGGAAACAATCTTGAGCCACTTGAGACTTTGATTGATAAGAAGAAATTTGAAACTTCCCGAATTACAATCAAAGTTGATCTTGGTGAGATGATTTTGAAGAGTATTCACTCGAAACTTCAGGAAACACTTGAGATTGCTTATGCTCCTATTAAAATATATCTTGAAAGTTTTCAAATGCAATTTTATAGTTTACAATCGAAAAAGGAACAAAATGATCTCATTGAATATCTCGAAGAACCACGAAGCTTTGATGAATATTTTGAAGTTGTTGAGAAATACCAAATTCACATAGACAACCTTCGACTTCTGATTCAGAAAGAATTCTTCAATGAAGCGATTATCAGTCAATCAGATGCAATCGAAAGCTTGAGACGTATTGGAGAAAATAGTTTGAAAAAAATCACTGCAAGCATTGTTCGAGAACATAAGAAAGAAATTCGAAGCATTTCAAATGAATATGAAGAGATCAAGAGACGAGCTTTGGAAATTCCATTAACAACTGAACATTTGTTTGAAACTGGCGAATACATGTTGAATGTTAAGAAGAATGTCATCGATGAATTAGGTGAAAGAATTCGTTTCACTTTACGAGTCACTGGATTGATCGTTGAGTTGACGGAAATGGATAATGAACACATAAAACTTCAACGAGAAGTCATTGACTGGTATCACAACACTTCACATATATTTGAACTTGGAGGAACAAATTTTGAAACAATGAAATATCAGTTTGAGGAAAAACTTTTATTTGTTTCGAAACAAATACAAGATCGTTTGAAAGAACTCGCTCCAAACCTAACAATCATTAATGACATGACCAATTCAACCAAGTTCAAGGAATATGAACGCATTTTGAAGAAGTTTGTCGATCAAATTGTTGTGTTTGATGATCATGTGAAGTGGCTGAATAAGGAAGAAGTTTTGTTTAAATTTCCAAAGACTCAATCAGCGCTTCTAGAAAGTATGAAGACTTTTGTAATTCCTTTCTGTTTGCTTATCAAACTTTGCATTCGTTGGTATCGCTACTATGATGTATGGATGGACGGCTGTTTTGAGTACCTTGATCCAAAATTTGTACAAATCACAACTGAAGAATTCTTGAAAGATTTCCAGAAAACCCAAAAATTCTACCGGAACTTAATAAAAGCTGAAAATGAATTTCCTGAATGCAGATTCAAAGGGCAATTAGAAGATCCCGACATTGAAAAGCTTCCATCGCCTTTAAAAATTTGTGCTCGGATGATTCAAACGATCAAAGATTTCAGAATTGGTGTTCATGTTGTGACGATTATGTGCAATCCGGCTTTACGTGAACGTCATTGGAATGAAATGTCTGAAGTAGCTAAAATGGATCTGCAACCTGATGCTGGTACAACATTAAGAAAAATTATCAATTACAACCTTCCGTGCTTGGATGAATGTGAAATCATTTCGATTGGCGCTTGTAAAGAACTTCAATTGCAACAAAACTTAGCAGCAATGATGAAAGAATGGAATGTTGTAAATTTTTCACTCAGTGAATTTAAAAACACTGGAATTACAATTCTAAGCAGCATTGAAGACGTTCAAGCAATACTTGACGATCACATTATTAAAACACTTTCAATGCGTGGGAGTGCATTTGTGAAACCGAGTGAAGATGAAGTTAAAGATTGGTTTAATAAATTAATTCGTGTTCAATCAACAATCGAGCAGTGGGGAAAAGTTCAATCAACTTGGTTATATTTGTTGCCAATTTTCACATCAAAAGACATCGTTGCGCAAATGCCAGAAGAAGGAAGATATTTTGTTCAAGTTGATAACATTTACAAGCGTTACATGATGGCAGTTGTGAAGGAACCGAATGTCATGGAAACTGCAGCACAACCAGGACTCTTAGAATCAATGATTGAAGCTAATGGAATGTTAGAGAAAGTTATTGTTGGTGTGAATAATTACTTAGAGAAAAAAAGGCTTTTCTTTCCTCGCTTCTTCTTTCTCTCAAATGATGAAATGTTGGAGATTCTCTCAGAAACAAAAGACCCATTGCGAGTTCAATCACATCTTAGTAAATGTTTTGAAGGAATTAATAAATTAGATTTCAACGATTTACTTGAAGCATCGGCAATGATAAGTGTTGAAGGTGAGAGAGTTAAATTCATTGAAAAAGTTTCAACAGCAGCCGCACGTGGAAGTGTTGAGAAATGGTTGTCACAAGTCGAACATCAAATGTTGGCATCGATAAAAGATGAAACGTCAAGAAGTTTCTTAAGTTACCAGGAAACAAAACGAACTGAATGGATAACACAATGGCCAGGAATGGTCGTTCTTGCTGTTTCACAGATCTACTGGTGTGTCGACATTGAATCTCGTTTAAAGACAAATGAACTGAAGGATTATTATGAATTTCTTCAAATACAACTTCGTGAAACTGTTGGGATGATTCGAAGTGAGAAAATATCGAATTTAGATCGAGTTACAGTTAAAGCTTTGATTGTGATTGATGTTCATGCAAAAGATGTTTTGGAAGAAGTTGTAAAGTGCAATGTGACGTCTGAAGATAATTTCCAATGGATTAGACAATTAAGATATTACATGGTAGATGATGCTGTTCAAGTTAGAATAATAAATGCTTGCGTTCCATATGGATATGAATATTTAGGAAATTCTGATCGATTGGTTATCACGCCATTAACTGATCGTTGTTACATGACTTTGATGTGTGCTTATCAATTGCATTTAAATGGTGCACCTGAAGGGTAAATTAACAAAGATTTTAAAAAGATTTTCACTAAAAAATATTTTCATTCACAGTCCGGCAGGAACTGGCAAAACTGAAACTACTAAAGATCTTGCAAAAGCACTCGCTGTTCAGTGTAAAGTGTTCAATTGTTCAGATGGTCTCGATTATAAGTCGATGGGAAAATTCTTTAAAGGTTTGGCAGCATCAGGTGCATGGGCTTGCTTCGATGAATTTAATCGAATTGAACTTGAGGTATTGTCGGTTATTGCACAACAAATCTTGTCAATTGTTCAAGCAGTGAGAAATGGTGTTGAGAAATTCATGTTTGAAGGAACTGAATTACCTTTAAATCCTTCGTGCTATGTTTGCATTACAATGAATCCGGGATATGCTGGAAGAAGTGAATTACCAGATAATCTGAAAGTTCTCTTTCGATCTATTGCAATGATGGTTCCCGATTATGCTTTGATTGGTGAAATTTCACTTTACAGTTATGGCTTCGTCAATGCACGAGAACTTTCAGTCAAAATCGTCACAACATATCGATTATGTTCGGAACAGTTGAGTTCTCAAAATCATTACGATTATGGAATGCGAGCTGTCAAAACCGTACTTCAAGCATGTGGAAACTTAAAAAAGAAATTCCCTAATGAACGAGAAGACGTTCTTCTCCTTCGAAGTCTTTTGGATGTAAATCTTCCAAAGTTTTTGACCATCGACATTCCATTATTCCAAGGAATTATTTCCGATCTCTTTCCCAATGTTGAAATTCCTGAAACTGATTACGGACATTTCACAGAAATATTTAAAAATATCTGCGAATCGATGAATCTTCAACCTAAAGAAGAATTTATGTTGAAAGTTATTCAAACATTCGAAATGTTGATCGTTCGTCATGGCTTTATGTTGGTTGGTGAACCTTTGTCTGGAAAGACAGCAGCTTTAACTGTTCTTGCAGAATGTTTAACACAATTAGCTAAACGTTATCCCGATGAAAATCCTTACTATCGAAAGGTTCAATTTGATACAATAAACCCTAAATCGATAACTTTAGGTCAACTCTACGGTGCATTTGATCCCGTGTCGATGGAGTGGAGTGACGGAGTTGCTGCCACATTATTTCGTAACTACGCTTCAGATCCATCGCCTGACCGGAAATGGATCATTTTTGATGGCCCTGTTGATGCTGTTTGGATTGAAAATATGAATACGGTTTTGGATGACAATAAAAAGCTTTGCTTAACATCTGGTGAAGTCATCACAATGTCACAAGAAATGTCAATGATATTTGAAGTCATGGATTTGGCTCAAGCATCGCCAGCTACTGTTAGTAGATGTGGAATGATTTATATGGAGACAATTGTGCTTGGATGGGAGGCTTTCGCACTTTCCTGGCTCAATGTATGCAACCCAATGTGGGCTGGAGATCATAAAGTGATGATTATGGGAATGTTTCGTTGGATTATTCCTGATGTAAGTCATTAAATTTTGATAATTTTGAAAAAAATATTATTTTTTCTTTTTCTTTCAAGTGTTTGACTTTCATAAAAAGAAATTGTCAAATGTTTCTCAAATCAAGTGACATTAACATTATTCTGTCAACCTTTTCAATCTTTGAGATGCTTTTGAATGATGCGTGTGAAGAAAATCAAGAAGAATACGCGAAATTCTTGACATCTTGGTTTCAAGCTGCAATTTCTTACGCTGTTATGTGGGGATTAGGTGGAATAATGAATACGGAATCTCGCACCAAGTTTGATGAGTTTTATCGAGAGGTAAAAATATTTAAGAAAAATTTTAATTTATTTTCTATAATTTCATTTTTTCCAGATTTGGAATAAGCAAATCCCGACAGAAGTTGGAAGAATTGAAGTGACAATTCCTCCAGATGGTCTCATCTTTGACTATGTTTATATTTTTAAGCAAAAAGGTGCATGGAAACTTTGGCCAGATCTTGTACGAAACATGAAAATTGAGACTGGCGTGGCAATTCAAGTGCCAACAATTGACACTGCCCGATATTCTCACATGTTTAATTTGCATTTCAAGTATCAAAGACCTTTTTTGTTAGTGGGACCAACAGGAACAGGTATGAGAAATGATTTTTTTAACTTTAGAATATAATATGTTGCAAAATAAAAAGCTTTGACTATGATAAGACATGTTGCAAGTTTCATGCGACATGTGACACTAAAAAACTTTTCTTTGTTGCGTGTGACTTTAAAAAAGCTTCTTTGTGTGTGACATTTCTCATCGTAGATCTTACAATCAATGGCTTAAATTAAGAAAATGTTTTAATTCTATTTATAACAGGAAAATCATTCTACATTCAAAATAATCTCATGAAACTACCGGAGGAAACTTACGTTCCAGCATTCGTCACATTCACAACGCAAATAACAGCAAATCAAGTTCAAGAGCTGGTTTTATCAAAGCTCATAAAGAAGAGGAAAGGAATTTATGGTCCACCTCAGGATCGAAAATGTATTTTGTTCATTGATGATATGAACATGCCTGCAAAAGATGAGTATGGCGCACAAGCACCAATCGAATTAATTCGCCAATATTTTGACAAGAAGCACTGGTACGACACAAAAGATACAACAAAGATTTACTTAAAAGATTTATTGATCGTTGCTGCTTGTGGACTTGTTGGTGGTTCACGTCAAGATGTTTATGCAAGATTTCTTTGCCATTTCAATATCTTTGCCATCAATCTTTTCTCGGATGAAACAAATTTTAAGATTTTTCATTCTATTCTTGTGGATGTTTACAAACGAAATGGTCATCCAAACGATGTTATTCAAAGCTGCAACAACATTGTTTCATCGACTATTGAAATTTATAATTTTGCGATTAAAAACATTCTTCCAACACCTTCAAAGTCACATTATGTATTCAATCTTCGTGATATTTCACGTGTCATCACCGGTTGCGGATTGTTAAGAAGAGAATCAACAGACACGAAGAAAATGTTTACAAAAATTTGGTGTCATGAGACGTTGCGCGTATTTTTTGATCGATTAATGGACGATAAAGATCGTGTTGAAGCTTTTAAAAAAATCAATAAATGTATTCAAACTTTCTTCAAAGATAAACCAGAAGAATTGTTTGAAGATCTTATGGGAGATGGCCCGTTGACATATCAAAAAATGAACGGACTTTTATTTGGAAGTTACTTCGATATGGACACTGATTATGAAGATCGAAAATATGAACTCATTCAGAATGTTGATGCATTTAGAAATCTCGCTTATCAATGTTTGGATGAATATAATTCCACTCACAAGACTAAGATGGATGTTGTGTTATTTGAATATGCTTTGCAACATCTCAATAAGATTTGTCGTATTATGAGCTTACCTGGGGGGTCAGCTTTGCTTGTTGGCATGAGTGGTTCAGGTCGTCAATCAATGGCAACGCTAGCAGCAGCAATTCTTAATCAAAGTTTATTTCAACCAGAAATCACAAAGAATTATGGTCTCAATGAATTTCGTGATGATCTTAAAATTATGTTGAAAGAAGCTGGCGGACTTGGCAAAGACACGGTTTTCCTTTTCACAGAAGGTCAGATGAAGATGGAAGAATTTCTTCAAGACATCGACTGCTTATTGAATCTTGGAGAAGTTCCAAACATTTACCAAATTGAAGAGAAACAAGAATTACTTGAAATGGTGCGTTTAGCAGCTCAAGGTGGAAATCGTAATCTCGACATTCCGCCACTTCAAGTTTTTCAATTCTTTGTTAATCGTTGCAAGTTGAAGCTTCATCTCGTACTTTGTTTCAGTCCCATTGGATCATCATTCAGAAATCGTATTCGATTGTATCCTTCATTAGTGAATTGTTGTACAATTGATTGGTATGATGATTGGCCTGAAGATGCACTTGAAATGGTCGCTCATAAATTTATTAAAGATATGAACATTCCTGATGACATCAAAGACAGTGTCGTGAAGATTTTACAAAACTTTCATACGACTGGTTTACGACTTGCTGAAGAGTTTTATCAGGAAACTGGTCGTGTAATTTATTTCACATCTGCCAGTTACCTCGAAGTCATCAAATCATTTTGTGGAATGATTAAGAAGAAGCAGAAAGAAGTTCTCGATAATAAAATGCGTTATTTAGTCGGATTAGATCGTCTGCAAGCTGCAGCTGATACTGTCGCTCAAATGCAAATTGACTTAGAAGCAAAGCAACCTGAGCTCATTATTCTTGCTGAAGATTCTCGTCGAATGATGGAAGAAATTGAAAAGGAATCAATGGAAGCTGAACTAGCAACGGAACAAGTGAAACGAGATGAAATTGTTGCAAATAAACAAGCAGCTGAGTCACTCGCGCTCAATGCTGAATGTGAAAAAGATCTCGCAAGTGCAATTCCAATTTTGGAAGACGCAATTCAATCGTTGAATACTCTGAAACCAGCTGACATCACACTCGTGAAATCAATGAAAAACCCTCCAGATACAGTGAAACTTGTCATGGCTGCTGTTTGTGTTATGAAGTCAGTTCCACCTGACAAAATTGCAGATTCATCAGGAAAGAAAATTCTTGACTTCTGGGGTCCAAGTAAGAAATTATTGGGCGACATGCAATTTCTGCAATCACTTAAAGATTACGACAAAGACAATATCAAACCAGAAATTATGGTGAAGATTCGAAAAGATTTTATTCCTCATAAAGACTTTCAACCGTCGATTGTGGCAAAAGCTTCGAGTGCTGCTGAAGGTCTCTGTAAATGGATCATCGCTATGAATCTTTATGATGCTGTTGCAAAAGTTGTAGCACCTAAGAAAGCGAAACTAGAAGAATCCAAAAGAATTTACGAAGAAACAATGATTTTGTTAGCAGAGAAACGTGAATTGGCAGCGCAATTAGAAATGCGAGTCATTCAATTGAACAATGATCTCGATGATGCGCAATTACGTCGACAAATGGTTGAAGATGAAGTTGAATTGTGTCGTAAAAAGCTGATAAGAGCTGAGACACTTCTTGGAGGTCTTGGAGGTGAAGGTAAACGTTGGGTGAGTTCAGCTGGTGAACTTCAATCAATTTACGATTGTCTTCCTGGCGATGTTCTAATTTCTTGTGGATTAATTTCTTATTTGTCACCATTAACAACAAAATATCGAACGAAAGCTGTTACCAGTTGGCATAAACTCTGCACCGAAATGAAGATTCCACAATCACTTGAGTTCAACTTTATTGCGATCTTAGGATCAGAAATAAAAATTCAAAATTGGAACATCAATGGATTGCCACGTGATTTGTTTTCAATCGAGAATGGAATAATTATGGAGAATTCAAGTCAATATTCATTGTTCATTGATCCACAAAATCAAGCTAATAAATGGATTAAAGAAATGGAAAGAAACAATCAATTATATGTTGTAAAGTTTTCTCAGAAAGATTACATGAAGACGATCGAAAATTGTATCGAGAATGGCCATCCAGTGTTGATTGAGAATATTTATGAGAATCTTGAAGCACCACTCGATCCACTGTTGAAGAAACAAACTTTCATGCAAGGTGGTTACGAGTTTATAAGTTTAGGTGAAAATGTTTTACAAATGTCACCAAACTTCCGTCTTTACATGACGACATCATTACGTAATCCACATTATCTTCCTGAAGTGTTCAACAAAGTCACAGTCATCAACTTCGCATTGACAATTGAAGGTCTTGAAGATCAGTTACTTGGAATTGTTGTAGCTAAAGAACGTCCCGACCTTCAAGAACTTCGAGAAGAACTCACAAAAACTAAAGCAAAGAATCAAGAAATGTTGAAAGCTGTTGAAGATAACATTCTTAAGACACTCTCTGAATCCACTGGTGACATTCTCGAAGATGAAAGTGCAATAAGAATGCTTGATGACTCGAAGGTTCTTGCTGTTGATATAAAATCAAAACAAGAAGAATCTGTTTCGACTGAATTATTATTAGAAACATTCCGTGAAAGTTATCATTCAGTAGCGACGCATGCAGCGACAATTTATTACTCAATAACTGATCTTCCAAACGTTGATCCAATGTATCAATTCTCACTTAGTTGGTACATAAATCTCTTCATTTTCAGTATCGAAAATGCCAACAAATCGAAGGAAATTATGAAACGATTAAAGTTTCTTATCGATGCAATCACCATCAACTTATATAATAATGTTTGTCGTTCACTCTTCGAAAAAGATAAACTTTTATTTTCCTTCATTTTAACAACAAAAATTATGATTTCAAATCAACAAATGACATTGACAGACTTGGATTTTCTGTTCACATCTAAGTATAGTGTTGATATGGATAAATTTACGAATCCTGATCCGAGTTGGATAACAGAAAAGATTTGGTGGAGTATCGCAAGGTTAAGTCAGTTGAAAGGCTTCAAAGGGTTCATTGATGATTTCAAGAATCACTTAAGTCATTGGAAATCAATTTTCAATGCAATTCAACCTGAAAAGATTGAAATGCCTGGCATTTGGAATTCATCTTTAACGACGTTTGAGAAGTTGCTGGTGTTGAATGCAATTCGACCTGATAAACTCACCGCTGGTATCGCAATGTTTATTGAAAGCCAGATGGGATCAAAATTTAATTCGCCGCCACCTTTCGACATTGGAAAATCATTTGAAGATAGTAATTGTTTAACTCCGGTAATCTTCATTCTCTCACCAGGTGTTGATCCCATGCAGTCAATCATATCTTACGCTGAAAAATTGAAATTTGACGAAACATTCCAATCAGTGTCACTCGGACAAGGTCAAGGAGAAATCGCACGAAGAATGATTGAAAAGGCTCAAGTTGATGGTGGTTGGGTTTGTCTTCAAAATTGTCATTTAGCTGAATCGTGGATGCCAACATTAGAAATGATGTGGGAGAAGATGGATATGTTCAACACTGACCCGACTTTTCGTCTTTGGTTGACTTCGTACCCTTCGAAATCATTTCCACAAACGATTCTGCAGAACGGCGTTAAGATCACAAATGAACCACCAACTGGACTCCAGAAGAATCTTCTTCGTTCTTATAATTCCGAGCCGATGAACGTTGATTCATTCTATTCAGGATGCCCTGATAAAGATCGAGCTTTTACAAAGCTTCTTTACGGCATTTCATTCTTTCATGCAGTGGTGCAAGAACGTCGGAAGTTTGGTGCACTTGGTTGGAACATTCTTTATGGTTTCAATGAATCAGATTTTCAGATAACAGTTCAACAATTGCAAATGTTCCTAAATGAATATGTGGAGATTCCATTCGATGCAATTTCTTACTTGACTGGGGAATGTAATTATGGTGGGAGGGTAACTGATGCATGGGATCGTCGAACTATCGTCACAATTCTCAAAGATTTTGTCAATGAAGATGTTGTTAATGATCCGATTTATAAGTTTACAAAGTTTGATGAAACTTATATCATACCAAGACGTGTCGAACATCGTGAAGTTGTTAAACATGTCAATGAAACGATTCCGAATGATCCCAGTCCGGAAATTTTCGGTCTTCATCCAAATGCCGGAATTATCAGAGACTTAAACGAATCACTTTTGTTAGCTGAAACGTTCAACAGCACTTTGGTTCAATCAGTTAAATCCAGTTCGGATGAAGATTTGATTTTAGGAATGGTTGAAGATATTTTACAAAGATTACCAAAAGATTTTGATGTTGAACAAGCACAAGAGAAATATCCGATCGATTACAATGAATCAATGAATACTGTTTTAGTTCAGGAAATGGAAAGATTAAACATTCTTCTTCGTGAGATAAGGAAAAGTTGTGAAAATCTTCGCGATGCAACAAGTGGAAAAATTGTAATGACGGCAATCATTGAAAATGTTTCGAAATCTTTAACATTGAGTAAAATTCCGACAATTTGGACGAAGAAATCTTATCCGAGTTTGAAGAATGTCGGATCGTACATCACGGACTTTATCAAACGACTTGATTTCCTTCAGACATGGTATGAGAATGGAAAACCAGCATGTTTTTGGATTTCTGGCTTCTTCTTCACGCAAGCTTTCCTAACTGGCGTCACACAAAACTATGCAAGAAAATATAAAATTCCGATCGATACTTTGACATTTGATTTCAACATTCTAGATTTCATGGATCCTGAAAAGTAAATTTAATTAAAAACTTCTTGATTTTCATGATAATGTTCGATGATTTTAGATCACTTGAGTCACCAACTGATGGAGTTTATGTTCATGGTTTGTACATTGAAGGTGCAAGATGGGATGTCAAAGAAAGATCGTTGAATGAACAACATCCAAAAGTGATCATCAATAATTTTCCACTAATTCATTTCATTGTAAGAATTCTTTTAAAATTTTGATTTATTTTAAATTTCTTTTCTCATAGCCATTAATCCAATCAAATTTCCATGAGAATTCACGATATAAATCGCCACTTTACAAGACATCGGAGAGAAAAGGAATTTTATCAACGACCGGACATTCTACAAATTATGTCATTGCTTTGATGCTTGACACAAAAGTCGATCCCCAACATTGGATAAAACGTGGTGTTGCTCTTCTTTGTCAAGACAATGATTAAATTTTTCCTTTTTTAGATGTAAAATTAATTAAATTTTTCGTGTTTCAAAAGTGAAATTTATTTCTAAATTTTCTAAAATAATTTCTAATTCAAATAAAATTCTTTTAATAAAGTTTTTCCTAACATTTTTCCTTTCATGCCTTGTGAATTTGCATCAACAATTTCAACAGCGACATAATCACCGACATTGATTTCATTCGACTTTGGTATGATAACTTTAATGTTTCCATCACATCGACCATAAATTTCATCTTTTGAACGTTTGCTTTGATTTTCGATGAGAATTAGTTGCGTTGTTCCAATTAATTGTTGATTAAGAAGTTGAGAATTGCGACGATACATTTCAATCATTCGATTGAGTCGATCAATCTTCACATCGTGAGGAACGTCGTCTTGGAACTTTCGGAACGCTGTGGTTTTCTAATAGAATAAAAAAGTGAAATTAAAAGGCTTTGAATAAAAGAATCTTTCTTACCTCTCGCATGCTGTAAGGAAATAAATAAGCAACGTTGTACTTGACTTCATCGATCAACGTCAGAGTGTCATTGAACTCCTCTTCAGTCTCACCACAGAAACCGCAAATGAAATCACTTGAAATGGAAACATTTGGAAGAACTTTTCTAACACGTGAAATAAGTTCAAGATAAGCTTCTCTTGTGTAGCCTCGTCGCATTCTCTCAAGAACTGATGAGTTGCCTGATTGTGCAGGAATATGAAGTGACTTGCATATATTTGGATATTTCGCGATCACTTCAAGAACTGCACTTGGAAAGTCTTTTGGATGAGGCGAAGTGAAACGAATTCGAAGTTCTGGTGACACATTTGCGATTCTTTCAAGAAGCTCAGCGAATCTCAATCCACCCACTTTTGTTTTATAAACTGTTTTAAAACCGGGAACGAGCTGAGTTGCTTCTGGTTCTTGGTTTTCTTTGGAAAGATCTCTGAAACTATTAACGTTTTGTCCAAGTAAAGTAACTTCTTTGATTCCTTGTTGCTCAACTAGCACTTTCACTTCTTTTTCAATTGAATCAATTGGTCGTGATCGCTCTTTTCCTCTTGTAAATGGAACAATACAATAAGAGCACATATTGTCACAACCTCTCATGATAGAAACGTAAGCTGTGATTGAGTTTTGATCAAGTTTCACTGGCATTAAATCAGCATATGTTTCATCAAGCGATAACAGAACGTTAATCGCACTGACACCATTCTTTCCTAATGCTAGTAATCTTGGAAGATCCTTGTAAGAATCTGGACCGGCAACGACATCGACATCTTTCTCTTGTTCAATGATTTTTGTCTTCAATCTTTCAGCCATACATCCAAGAATTCCAATTTGAAGTGGATCTGACTTCTTACCTCGTCTTTTCTTCATTCCTTTGAGATGAACTAAACGGTTCCATATTTTATTTTCAGCACCTTCACGAATTGAACAAGTCATTAGAAGAATCACGTCAGCTTCATCTATATTTTCGGTTTTTTGATATTTTTGAGATTTTAAAATTGACCAAACAATTTCAGTATCGTTAACGTTCATTTGACATCCATAAACATCAAAATAAACCTTTCTATTTTCACCACTGACATCAATATTTTTTAGATAAGGTGGTAGCGGCTCTTCTTGAGGAATTTCGTTAGGTTTCGGAAGATTTTTTCCAACTACAAGAAAATCCTGTAAAGTCAGCTTGTCATCCGGTAGTAAAGATTCTCTTTTGTTGACTAATGAAGATAGAGTTCTCCTGGCACTTGTAAGAAAATTTTTCTTTCTTAAAAGTAACAAATTTCTCAATCTAAACACACTTTTCATTTTTCTTATTTTCACTCTTTGATGTAAACAAAAGGTGCGTTCAGTAATACAAATTGACGAAAATTGATCGAAGTTCAAGATATCTCCAAACTGCCCCTTAGTATTCCCCTTGAATATTTAAAAAAAATTTTGAATTGATTTTAACCGAAAAACTTGAGTAGAATAAAAAAAAACATTTTAACAAAAGAATTATTTAATGATGGCTGTAAGTATAGCAAAAGAAAATATTAAACCTTTACAACAAGAAAATCAAGATGATCAAAGTGAAAAACGGTAAGAAGAAATTAAAAAATGTGCAATGATTTCTAATTCTTTTGTTAATTTCAGAAAATATGAAAGATTAATTAAAGCGTATGAAGGGAACGATCCTTTAGCGTTATGGTATGAATATATTGGATGGATTGAACAGTCTTCTTTTGAGAATACAGAAAACGTGTTGAATGATGTTATCCTTAAATGCATTATTTGTTTTGAGAATGACATCAGATACAAACAGGATCGTCGAATGGTTAAGCTTTACATCAAATATGTAAGTAAAACTATTCTTAGCATAACTAAGTTTACATAAATTCTGATTTTTAAAGATTGACACTCAAAAAGAGCCTCAAAACTTTTACAATAAACTTTATCAAAATGGCGTTGGAACTCTTGTTGCTGATCTTTACATAGCCTGGAGTTATTATTTCGATGTTATCAACAATCATAAAGAAGTCCATGCTATTTTTCAAAAGGGCTTCGATGCAGGCGCTCAACCTAAAGAGGATCTCACAAAAGCACATAATGAATTTAGTATTTCAATGTCGAAGAGACTTCTCAATCATGACGAACATTTCAATCAACAATTTCAAGCTACAATGAAGGAGAAACGCTTAACTTTTATATCTATTCAAGAAAACAAGAAAAGTGACGTAGCAAATGGTAAACCAGATGTCAATGTTAAAGTTCTTGAAGAAAAACCATTGACAGCGAATGTTGTTGCAAAAAAAGAAACCAAATCAGTCGATTTATTTGAAACTGGAATAATTTTACCAATGGGATTTGTCAGTCGAAATAAAGTTCAAAAACCGTGGACAAATGATATTCCGATTGTCGTCAATGAACCAATTGTGACAGGAGCTGTGCCTTGTTACGAGAAATTTCTGCTTTATCCAAATGAGCACACTGAAATTTCGGCTGATGAATATCGAGGCTACAAATGGTTTAAGGATCGAGGAATGGCAAATCAATTAACACTTAATTATGACAGTAAATGGGAAAATAAATTTGAAACCAAAATTCGGATTCCACCAGGATTTGCATCAAAAAATGTTAAACAAGTCGAAAAAGACGATTTTAAGCAATTTATTTATGAAGATCAACATGACAACATTCAAGTCCCAATAAAGAAAATTTATCCAGAAGAAGGAGAGGAAATGTCATTAGAAGAACTTTTATCGCAAAAATTCAAAAGTGGTGGCATTAAAGTCCTCACTGAAGATGATTTTGATGTAGTCAGTGACAATGATTTGAGCGATATGGACATGACAATCATCACTGAACGTCGACAATCGATTTATCCGAATTCACGTAAATCTTTCGTTCCGAGAAAATCACTTGCTTTGACAAGAAAATCGTCAGTGGAAGAGATTTTGGTTGAAGAATCGTCTGTTAAGACTTTCCAAGTTTCAAAGGAATGTTCTGTTGAAACTTTGAAGAAATCAACAATAATTAAAAGAAAGTTTGAAGAAATTTCCGATTCAGAAGATTCGAGTAAACGTGGATTTGTTGCTCAAACTCCACCACGTTCAAGTTTCGAAACGTTTAAACAGCCGCTTCCAGTTGGAAAGAAGTCCATCCGACCATTTGATGTTGATGATGCTGACATGACTGGTTTTGGAGCTTGTTCAACTCAACAATTTAATTTCTTCATAAAACAGCAAGCAGTGAGTACACCAGTGATGAAGAAAACAGTTCCAAGATTAGTGCCGCTTGCAATGGAAAAGGAATATTCTCCTGAAAGTGTTTCATCATGTCATGTTCAAGAAATCGGCGCTAACAAGCAATTGTCGATTATTATGGAAACAACTCGACCATCAAAGTCATCAGGAAGTCAAACAAGTTCAAAAATTCTTCAAAGAACTGTCATGAGACAACAAATTGAGGAAGAATTGTTTAACCCTGTGGTTCCATCATTTCGAATGCCAGAAGAACAAACTGAAACATGTGCAAATATTATTTTGCCATTAGTTAATATCGCAACTTTGAATGCTTTTGAAGCTAAAGAACAAGAAATTGAACGTCCTAATGATGAGTTAATGATTCCACCACCACTTGATGAAGATTTGACAATGAAACTTCAAAATATTGCATTAACTTCTGAACTTCTGCAACAGTCTGGTCCACAAACTGCAATCAATCTTCCAACAATACAAGAAAATCCTGAAGTTCCATCAAACAATATTGAAAAAGAAATAAATTTCGATATTTATGAAGATTCTGTTATGAACATTCCGAAACTTGAAACTTCTAATGCTTTGAAAATTCCAAATGATGAAGGAACTGGTCTTTCACATGTTTCACGAAAAGAGAATTTTGTAGTTTCACCACCATTAACAACATTGAAGTCAAACTCAATTAAAAATGCTTCCAAATTATCAATTGAAGAACCGAGAGGTCCAACGCCAACGCTTTTTGTTGATGATTTGAATACTGAAAAGTTTGTGCTAGGAAATCTCAAGAACTCAACTTTAATCGCAACTGACGGTGGTAAAAAGCATGAAGAAGAAAAAGTTTGTGGCATCAATTTAAGTATTGAAGTGACTGAAGATGAAATGACAAAGCTCAGAGATGAAGATGTTTTTAAAGTTCCAACAATACTAGCTCCTAAAACAAAACCATTTGAGATTTACAATGATAATGAAGCAGAAGAGGAAAAAGAAGAAGATTTCAGTAAGTCAATTTATGTTCAACGTGATGAAAAACTTGACTTAGAAGAAGAGGGAAACGTTGAATGGAATTACGATCCAACTTGTAGCTTTATTGCTGATGATTTTAATCAATATGAACACACAATTTTACCCGAAGCAATTAATATGTCATTGGAAGTACAAAAAGCGATACAATTGTCGTATGGAAATCCTTTTGATGAGAAACTTCGCACAGCAATGTTGGATCATTGCAACTTTAGCAGATACCTTGAGGATAACATTGAAAGTTGCTCATTGCTGAAAAACATCCCAAAGTTGAAGTCTGGAATAATGATTGAAATTGCTGGTGGAGAATATAAAATTTTTAAAACCGTTGGAAAAGGAAATTTTGGAACTGTGTTTACTGCTGAGAACAAGAAGACGAAAGAAATCGTCGCATTGAAGCAAGAAAAGCCAGCAAACCTGTGGGAATATTACATTTGTGTCGAGTTAAGTGATCGTCTGAAAAACAGGAATATGCTTTCAGCCTTTATGACAATCGATGGAGCTATTATTGCCAACAATTCAAGCATTTTAATGTCGAAGTTTTCTCCTTACGGTTCAATAATTGAAGTTTGTAATAAACATAAGAAAACAACAAATAAGAATATCGATGAATATGTCGTCATGGTGTTGACATCACAAATCCTTTCCATCATTGATCATCTTCATGGGTGTAAAATTATTCATGCTGATATTAAACCCGATAACTTTTTATTAATGTCGAAGTAAGTTTATCTGCTAGTATTTAATGACTTTTATTAATTTGAATTCAAATCTTCCGATAATTTCATTGATTCTTAAATTTTTGTTAACAGAATCGAATATGGAATGAAAGTTCCAGCACTGCAGCTAATTGACTTTGGATCTGCAATTGACATGGACTGGTATGAAAAGGGTGCAACATTTAATTATGTAGTAAAAACTGAGAACTTCACTTGTTGTGAGATGCTTGAAAAGAAGGAATGGACTTATCAGACTGATCTGTTTGGTCTTGTTGGGACTGCACATGTGATGTTGTTTGGAAAATATATGGAAGTGGAAAAGAAAGGAATTACATGGAACATAAAGTCACATTTTCCACGATATTTTGCTTTCAAAATTATGTGGGAACAATTCTTCAATATACTTCTTAATATTTCCAATTGCAACTCAATGCCAAACTTGCAAGATCTCAAAGATCAATTTGAAGCTGAGATCCGAACAAAAAAAAAGTTTGTACTTAATAAGATTGAAGAATTTAATAGATCTGTTCAATAATAAAGCAGTTCAATTTTATTTTAAATTATTTAAATGAGGAAAAATGATAAAATTCCTAAATTATACACAAATTCTTACTTCTAGATGTGATGATTGTAATTTAACTTAATAAATACTAATGTACACCGTCTGTTGTGAGAAAAGGATTTGTTTTTACCAAGTCTTTTCCATCGTACTCAATCATTTCGTATGTCCATTTACGATTAACACGACAGTATGTGCCGCATTTTTGTGACTTACAATATTCACAAGGAAAATGACATCCAGGACAATCCAATTCAAAACAATCACATACATCTTTTTTAGATATTCGAAATTTTCCTTGTTCATCATACATTGAAGTGCTGACTTTCTTAACAACAGGTTTTCTCTGTTTGTTGAATAAATTGTGGCGTTTGTTCATTTCTCGACGAGAATATTCAGGATTGAAATCTTCCAGAAACTTTGATCCTTCCAAAAGGTGACGATCTTTTAGAAACTTTTTTTCATTAGCTTTTGATTGTTGCGGTTGCTCTTGAGGCAAAAGTTCGGAATTTTGCGTCGAAGTTGCACCTCGTTTTACTGCAACATTTCTTGGTTTTTGTTCCGGCTAATAAAACACTTGAATTAACGTTATAAATCGTATTCATTTATTTGTTGCGTCCATCCGGTTTGGCGCCTAAACGTTCAACTGAACTGAACCGGTTCTAACCGGTACACCTCTATTTTAATTTAAAATTTTCTTACATNCTGTTCAGAAAAAATATCTTCTTCATCACCTACAAAAATGAATATAATTAAATATTTTTATTTAGAAATAGAATTTAAAAAATCATGAATTTACTGCTCAAATCTATAATTGTTATTGTACTTCTGATATCTTCTACATTTGTCATGTTATCTTTCCTTAGTTAGAATGCTTGTAGAATTAAAATTATTTAATAGGGACAAAAAAGACTATACAAACAAATAAGAATTTATTATAAATTCAAAGCTCGGTTCTCCAAAGTTAGTTTCAGGTGTAGTGTGTACAATTCTCTCACCCGGACAACTTTTCTCACCCGGACGAATTTTTCAAGTCACTTTGTATGAAAAATCGGGCCGGCCTGATAACAATTTTTGAACTCAGTAAATCTCGTACTCTCTCACTTTTTGAACTTTATTTGATTTAACCGACCCTGCCTCATTTTAACTTCAACCCCTGCACTCAACGAACGTGTTGATACAAACAAATTCATTTTGTACGCTCTAAAATTTGATTTTTTTAATATTTACGATAAAACAAACAAGATATATCCTATTTAAAGAATTTCAACGTAATATAAATTAAATATAACAATGGATGACGAAGCTGAAACTTATAAATTATGGCGGATTCGTAAAACAGTGATGCAGGTTTGTTTTGAAACTATTATTGAAAAGTTCCTGATGAAATATTTCATTAAATACCTCTTTTTGTTTCAAAGCTTGCTCATGACCGCGGATATTTAGTAACACAGGACGAATTGGATCAAACCCTCGAACAATTTAAAGAACAATTTGGAGATAAACCAAGGTAAAATATCAAATTAATAAATTGAAAATTTTCATTTCACTTTAATTTTCCTTACAAAGTGAGAAACGTCCAGCTCGATCTGATTTGATTGTTTTGGTTCACCACAATGATGATCCTACTGACCAGATGTTTGTGTTCTTTCCCGATGAGTCAAAGATTGGAATCAAACTTATCCGCACATATTGTACTCGGATGCAAGAAGAAAATATTCATCGAGCAATAATGGTGGTTCAAGGATCGATGAGTCCTTCAGCAAAGCAAGTCTTAGTCGAAATGGCACCTAAATATATCATCGAACAGTTTTTGGAATCTGAGTTACTGATTAACATTACCGAACATGAATTAGTTCCAGAACATGTCGTCATGACTCCCGAAGAAAAAGCTGAATTACTTACTCGTTACAAACTCAAAGAAAATATGCTAATGAGAATTCAAGCTGGTGATCCTGTAGCTCGTTACTTTGGACTTAAAAGAGGACAAGTCGTTAAAATCATTCGACCTTCAGAGACTGCTGGACGTTACATTTCTTACCGGCTTGTTTGCTAAGCTTACATTTAACTTTATCATAACATGAATAAAAATTTATCATTTTAAAAATAAATCCACAAGTTTTTTGTTTTTTCTTTTTTTTTATTTATTGTTTTCAGGAATTACACGAATAAACTTTTTGTTTTATTCTGATGGACATTCAACAGCTCCTGAATTGATATCATCAATGACATCATGTGGTGCACGTCCGTCAATTGTGCATCCAACACTTTGAGCAGTTCCAAGAATCTCTCTGATGGTTCCAGAAAACTCACGGGCCATTGAACGTGGTCGCATTACTTTTGCAATGCTAATAACATCATCAAATGTGATGTTTCCGTTGTGTTTGACTAAAAAATTATTTTTTATTAATTTAAAAGATTTTTTCTTTTATTTTCTTGACACTTACTCTCTTTCACCTTCTTTCTGTCACGTGGTGGTTCTTTTAAAGCTTTCACAATCATTGAAGCTGCTGATGGAACAACTGAGATAGTAGCTTGACGATTTTGGATGGTGAGACAAACTGTAATCTTTAATCCTTTCCAATCTCCAGTAGCCTTGGCGATATCATCACCAACTTTCTTTGGTGAGAGACCCAATGGACCAATTTTTGGAGCAAGCGATGATGTTGCACCGACTTCACCACCAACACATCTCAAATATACTAAAAAAAATAAATTAAAAATTCTTAATCCTAGTATGAGCAAATTTTATTTCAAATTCTTACCAAGTTTAACTTCTGTTGGATCAAACTTAGGCGGCATGGTTGCTTATATTTCTGAAAGTGGAATAAGTCATTATTAGAAGAAACAATTATTCCTCAAACTTAAGAAGAAAGTGTTTAAACACTTCATAACCTTAAAAACGAATAAATTTACAAAAATTGAAAAATGAAATTATATTCAATTGTATGATAAAGAAACATAATTCCTTATTAGAGCTAAAATTAATGTGAATATGTTATAATAAGGGTGGCATTTAAATTCTTTTAATCATTTAAAAAATAGTAAATATTGTACACTATAAATTATAGATGATAATAAATGAAAATTTTTCCATTTTTAAGAAGATATTGTGAAGAATTAATACATCCTAGCATTAAACACTTTCTTCTTGTTATATTTTTATGCAATACAAAGACATTAAAGGAACTTTAACTAACTTTTTGATATTAAAAACTATCAATGTGACTCGATCTGGCAAAAGATGAATCGAAAAGGAAGAATAATTTTTACTGAATACACAATTGAACTTCAAAATTGAACTCAAAATTAGTTCAAACGAAGCAGAAATTTTGTAAAAGAATTGAAAACAAGAAATATTTTTATTTTGTTTATTTACCTCGCATAATTAAAGATAATTTTTCTAGAAAATGTCTGACGAAGAAGAAGATTATATGTCTGATGCATTTTTAGCTAAGCTACAGGATGTCACCCCAAGTCTTATAAATAATAGCGCCGTAAAACGTCGTAATGAAATTGAAACGAAAAAGAAAGAACAACAAGGAAAACACAGATATAAACCAGTTCGCGAAATGCAAAATGAAAAGCTTAAAGAAGGTCTCAATAAAGCTATTACATCAGATAATAAAGGCTTTGCAATGCTTTCGAAAATGGGATTTAAACCTGGAACAAGTCTTGGAAAGTCATCTCAAGCCACAGCAATAACAGAACCAATTAAAATAAATCTAAACACTGACGGTCGTATGGGTCTAGGAACTCAAACTGCTGTTAAAGAACATCGAGAACGTCAACTCAGTAATCTCAAACGAAAAATGGATGCTGCAGATTTAACACCTGAAGAATATCGCAAGCAAATGCGAGAAGCTGCTGACAAGAAACAAATTGTTTGGGATCTTCACAAACTTCAAAAAACATGTAGAATACTTGATCTTGAAAAGAATGTTAAATTTCCTATTCATCCATGGTTTTGGCCAAAAGACTTTTCCAAAAAAGATGATTCCAGTGAAGAAGATGAAGAAGAGATTAACAACAAAGAAAAAGAATTGACAGTAAATTGCTTTACAAAATTTCTTCCATTTCGAAATATAAAATTAATTTTGTTTCAGGATTCAGAAAGGCTAGAAATGTTAAGAAAATTTCTCCGGGCTTCATATTTCTATTGTGAATATTGTGGACATCAGTACAAGGATGGTACAGATTTCATGAATGGTTGTCCTGGACCATCGAAAGATGATCATTGAATTAAAACTAACATGTAATTTAAGAATTATTTTTATTATTATTTTTAATTAATGAAGTTATTTCATAAAGATGGGAATTTTCAAAAGAATATCTTTGACTCTATCTAAAAATTCTTTACTTAGATTGTCATTATTTTTCACAGCGAAACAAACTAATATTTCTTGACGTTCACTTGCAATGAAATTCATAAGATATCTTATAGCTCCTTCAGTTTCTATTGATTCTGGACCAAACAAATGTTTTATGTTAAATATTTTCGTATTTGAAGCGGATATCATGTTATCATCAGAGAAAACCTGGTTATTTACACTGTAGAAATTGCTAGAATGATATGATAAAAGTTAAAATAATTTGAAAACTTTTAGAAATAGCATGAAACAAACCCAATTTTACCAAACTGCGTGATGATAAGCAAAATTTTGTTCATAAACTTATGAACAACAAATTCAGTTTGAATTCCATTGATAGAATGAGCTTCAATAAATTCAAATCCTTTTTCTATTTCTGAATCGTTAGCCGACATTGTATTTTCCTATTTATATTGATGATTATCTAGTTGATTTCCTTCCTACAATTTTCAAATTTAATTTTCTGAGTTTTGTTTACATTTTTTGATTTTCATGCGTTCAAAAATTGAACTTCAACTTTAGGTTTGATCTTTAAACGCGCAAAATTAAGTTCTAGAAAAACTGCCTACCTAATTCACCTAAAATATTTATTCGTGAATGTGAACGGCTTTTAAATAATTTCTTGATCATCACAATTTCTTGATCAATGTGGAGACAAAACAAAGAAAAACGAACATTTAACAAAAGTAATGACAAAATTATTTCTTCACGTCGATTTTTTTAAATTTATTAAATTGTTTACCTAAATACAAAAGTGTTAAATTTATTTTTTTATAATTACAGAAAATCCTGGCATCACACTTTACGATGAAAATGGAAAAATAAGAAAAACAAAAGAAGATCTTTGTGACTGTTTAGACATTAATTGCACCGGATGCTTTTTTCCATGTAAAAGATGCGAATCGACAAAATGTGGAGATGTCTGTCGAGTCAATCGTAATTGGTATTATGAAGAAATTTATTTAGGTGACGCAGATCCTGAAGTTTATTCAGTCAAGTCGATTAAAGCTCCATCAAACTATAAAATTCGAATTTGAAGTCTCAACGTTTATCAAAATTAATTAACTATTTAAGTATCTCGTTCTATGTTAAAATGATAGAAAAATAAAATATTTACTAATTTCAGTAAATCTCCCACCTCAACAGAATGTATTTTAAATTAATTAGCAAAATCAAATATTTTCGGATTAAAATATAAAAGTTTATAAAATCCCCGATTCTCAGTCGAAGCAACTTGTAGTCTTCCCTCATCTCTTCGTTCCATCGTTTTGCTGCCAACCATTTTCAACATATCCTCAATATGTGTGTCGCATGCATGATCAGCAACAATTTTGCAAAGCTCCCTTACATACCAACTTCCAAAACCGGTATCACGATGCGTTTGGAATCCTGGGACGGTGCCGTAACAGATTAGAATGTCACTGTATGATGGCACTGAAAGGTTAAAACCTCCACTATCCGTTTCAATTGAATGTAATTTAATATGCTTTTCTTTATCGGAAATTGAACCTCGACAAAATGGAAAAAAGAAAACTTTTGGTTTAAACGCCAAACTCTCACAATTTGTATTGGAAAACATTTGAAGAACGTCTTCAATGCTACATGTAGGCCCATCACTAAAATCCATTATTGTATGGTTTTTATACAAAGTACCATGAGTTTGAATACAAAATATGAAGGAGTCAATATTCTTAAGATAATCAGATTTGATTAAAAGTCTCATAAGATCGAAAAATTCATTTCGCGTCAAATCTTCGTAATAGAAAACCGTGTAATTCATTTCTCTGAAAAGTGTAACGAGATTCTCACGATCTTGTTCTGCTCCAGTTCGATCAGCTTTACCAGCAACAAATTTGATAATATTGACAAAGAAGAAAACTCCTCGTTTCTTTGATTTCATGTTATAAACTTGAAGTTTGGGATGTGAACCAAAATTTGCTGCTCGCTTAACTTCCAAGTCACGATCATAAAATGATGTTTTTGCTGTATAAGGCTCGAGTTTGATTTTTTTCTTAATAATTTTAGTCATGTTTGATCCATCAAATGTTGTTGTTGAGTCTTTGTCATCACTGTCAACGGAATAATCAATTGGACTTGGCGGAGCATAAGGAATGGAATTAGAAGATATTTTATTAGTCGTGCCTTTAATTGATAGAAACCTGTTTTCGTCCTCCATCACAACATCATCTTTAGATGTAAATGTAGCTGCTGGAATAGGTGAAGCATTAAGAATCTTGTATGCTTCTTCAAAGTTATTTTCTTTTAATATATCGATGATTCTATCGAAAGCTTTAGGTCCCCGATGAGTCAACTTCATGAACAATAAACGGTTTCTGTCCATATCATCTATTCCATCTTTGTAGATTATATCAGCCATCACATCTGTTAACACTTTTTTCTTGAGGCACGCATTAATCATTGTTTTGAAATCCGTATAATGCACAAGCTCATTGATCCTTTTTATAATCAGTTGTCTGTGGTTGTCATTCATGATGATGCTGTTAACTCTTGAACTTTTTTGTGTTTAAATTATTCAAAATACACTATTTTAATGAGTGATCAAATAAAAATAATAATTACAAGGATTATGAAATTATAAACAAAGAAATGAGGTTCAATTGAACTTTTATTGTTTTTTAAAAAAATTGAACTTCAGAGTTCAATCGGGCGAGTTCAACAATACAAAATTACTTTTCGCATATCTCGCACGTTTGTCAATATTGTTAAAATACAAATAAATAAAAACAACATTCTTAAACATGAATAAGAAAATTAAATTACTAGCTGAAAAATCTCCTTTAACGTATAAAGTTCTTAATAAGTGTTCTAAATCAAAAGCACGTAAAGGAGTAATGATGTTGAGAGAAACAAAACCAGTTGAAACACCGGGTAATAAATATTAAGGTTGTTTCACTTAAAGAAACAAACTAAAGAACATGTCAATTTTAGTCTTCATGCCTGTTGGCACACAAGGAACATTAAAAGGAGTACTTGTAGATCAACTTAAAGTAGATGACATGAATTGTCAAATTATGCTTGGAAATACTTATCACCTTGGACTTAGACCAGGAACTGAAATTCTACAAAAAGCTGGCGGATTACACAATTTCATGGGTTGGGATCGAGCTTTATTAACTGATTCAGGAGGCTTTCAAATGGTTTCGTTGTTGGAACTGGCTGAGATAACTGAAGAAGGAGTTAAGTTTAAGTCACCATTTGATGGATCAGAAAGCATGTTGACACCAGAAGAATCAATAAATATTCAGAATACAATTGGTGCTGACATAATCATGCAATTAGATGATGTAGTTAAGACAACAACAACAGGACCTAGAGTTGAAGAAGCGATGCTTAGAACCATTAGATGGATTGACAGGTGTCTTGAAGCAAACAATCGAAATGATGATCAATCGATATTTCCAATCGTACAAGGAGGATTAAATCCCGAATTAAGAAAACAATGTGCAGAAGCTTTAACTGAAAGAAACGTCCGTGGTTATGCTGTTGGTGGACTATCGGGAGGGGAAAGTAAAAATGATTTTTGGAAAATTGTGAGCTTGTCAACAGATAAATTACCAGCAGATAAACCAAGATATCTTATGGGAGTTGGTTTTGCAGCTGATTTGGTTGTTTGTGTAGCACTTGGAATTGATATGTTTGATTGTGTTTTTCCGACAAGGACTGCAAGGTTTGGTTGTGCTTTAGTGCGGACTGGTCAACTTAATTTAAAACATAAAACGTTTGAAGTTGATCTTTCACCAATTGATGATAAATGTAAATGCAGCACATGCAAATCTTATACCCGAGCATTTATCCATGCCATTAGTAATGATCTAATGATGTGCAGTTTGATAACAATACACAATGTTTCATTCCAACTACAACTTATGCGTGACATTCGCGAAGCAATTGAGAAAGATGAATTTCCTGAATTCGTTAAAACTTTCTTCGATGATTTATATCCAGACACAAAACCAGAGTGGATTGTAGATGCTTTGAAAAGTGTCAACATAGAAATTCAATAAAATGACACAAAAACATTTTTCATCTAAAATATTTCATCATTTTTTTATTTAATACATTTCTTTTCATTCATCATGTCTGTTTTTTTTCTCTTGACAAATTTGTAATACCAATCGATAGAATTTCTCACTTTCCTTTTTTTTAAGAATAGATGTGATTACATAGATTACAGAAATGTTTTTAAACGTGAAACAACGGCTTTTGTCGCTTTTATTAAAATTGGTTTTGAAATTATTTATTTTTTCGAGTTGGTCATTTCCTAAGTCAATTTCTTTTATGACAAAATTGTTAAATAATAAATTATTTTGCAAAGTGTAATGAAATATCTTCTTTGAGACATTTCCCTTTAGAAAATTAACGGAGAATGTAGAATGCCAGCAATAGATTCTTAACTTTAGAATAACACGCTTTTCTCATCTCGTATACGAGGACAACAAAAAAATATTTAAAATTTAGTAGATAATTGTTCATTTTCATTTTAATTTTTATGTATTCAATATTCAGTTTATGAGACAATCGGCATCGAAATATTATTTATGTTTGTAGAAACAGAAGGGAAATTGTAATTCTTTGTTAATCTTAGTCTAAGAGATTCTTTAACGGTTAAGAAACATGCAAATAATTGTCAAGATGATTAAATCAATTCGAATGATTCTTGAAGGAAATAAACAGGAATTTAAATACTTCTTAGATATCTAAACATGCATGTTGAGATGACTAACGATCCGAAGTTGATATCATGAAAATCGAATTATTACCTATTGTCCTTATTTGCTTTAAAAACTCGGAAAAAAATTTATTAATGTGAATTGAATTTTTTAATCATTTTTAATTAATGAACTTATGAAAATTGACAATAATTTACTGTTAATCACGTTTGATATGTTCAGTGAGAATTTAGCTTGAATGAAATGAATAAAAAATTAAAATAGAAGAAAGTTAAAAGAATTGTAGAAAGTTGAGACGAGCTTTAAATATACTTTGATTTAATTCATGGACATTTCAATTTTTAATTTATTTTATTTCAATCTTCAATATCTCGCACGAATAAAACGAAAGTTTTCATAAAGCTCCTAAAGGAAATGATTCGAAGATTTGAAATTTTCAATACTTTTTCCTTATTCCATTCCATCAAATTTCAATCTGACTGTTTTTAATCCTTGAATATCACAGAATAAAAACTATTTCATTGATAATTTCTCTTCATTTGTTTCTTTTCAAATAGTAAAGCTTTGTTTTTCGAATGACATCGTTTGTATAATTGAAAGCTATGAAACTTTAACGAAACTTAACTAAGGTAAACCAAAAGGAAGAAAATTATTATTTAATATCTAATCAACAAGAAATGAGAATAACGAAAATTATTAAACATCACACAGTTAAAATTAATGAGCTTTTATATTCAATTTCAATCTTCTTAAATGTCTAATTAATTATATTATTAATTAAACAAAATTCGCAAGAAAATTCTAATTCTCAAAGTTGATCTTTGTCGCGATCAAAACTCATTGCTTTGAAGACGCCTCGACATTTATATTGTTGTTTTCTTAAATTATGTTGATCGAAACTTGCAGCACGTGGACGCGAGTGTTGCGCACCTGTTTCGTTTTCACTGGCATCTGTGTCAGTGTCGCTTGGCCTCTTTCGCCTTCTAAGAAGGCCATCACCTTCACCCGTTTCGGTTGAAATTTCTGTCATGCTTTCACGCTTCTTCAACTCAGCAGCAAGCATTCTTACTTCCCAGTCATTGTGATGAAGTTCTTCAATTGTTCCCTCTTCCATTTCTTCATCTTCAGATTGTGACCCGTTTGATGTCACTGACTCTTCTTCCGTTTCGTCTTCAATGTTCAACACAACACTCTCTGTCACAATATTTCCAGTGAGGTTTGATACAACAATATTGTTATTGTTACGTGGTGATGGAATCCTTTGTGTAGGTTTATCAATTTCAAAGCTCTCCGGATCACTGCTTTCATCCCATGACCTACTACTATCTTGACGTGATGAGAATTTCTTCTTCGTTTTTTGCCGCTTTTGTGACTCATATTCGGATGGGGGTGATGAGGCGAAAATTGTGTCTAATGAATCACCACGCTGTCAAAAAAATTTATGAAATCAAATAGAATATTAAATGACTCTTCAAAGTGGTGAAGTGTATGAAGTGTGAAGTATTAAATCATCAGAATGAAGGATTACTTAATAAACTTTATCCTGATATTTTGTATTTAATTATTCCTTCAGTCTTCAATTTACTCTTTCATTCATAAGAAAAAATGATGAGAATTAATTTTACTTACCATAAAAGGTAGCTCATTAGATGAATCAGCACTTCCCGAATAGTCCCTTTCATTGATTGGTGTCATTCTATCGCCTGGATCTAACTCTCTTAATCTTCCTTGGAGTTGATTTATGATATCGTCTCGTCTTCGAACTTCCATCTCCAAATTCACAAATTTATCTTGAAATCTGTTTTGAAGATCCTTAAGATGACATTGTATAACTTGCTTAATTCCAAGTAGAATATCCGTATAATACTCTTGCTCCTCAATGGAACCTAAAGTTATAAAACGAATTTCATTTAAAATTGAATTAAAAAAAGATTTTTTTATTCTTTTATTCCCCAGAGTTAGAGGAGTGAAATGAAATAAAATATTCAACGTTGCAGTTGCATTGTAAGCTCACAAAAGCTCTCTAAAACTTACAATTGTGTATTTTCAATTTTATACATTTAGGACAATATTCAGAGACGTGCGATGGAGAGCTGCTGTCAGCTCTATGTCTTGAATACGTCCTCCAATTTGATCAACATTCAAACAATGGGAAAAAAAGAAATCAACAATTTTTTGTTCCATTGACGGTTGGGTTGTTGCTAGGAGAAAAAAGCTTTTAAATTATATGTGGGTAGCTTAACAGTACTTAATTTTCTAAATTCAAAATGAATGGAAGCCTAATCATGAATGAAATAATATGAATGAATAATTTACAAACAAAAATATCAAAATTTAAATTTCAAAAACCAAGAAAGCTTTTTCTTACTTTTTATTCGTGAAAGCTTTCATTTAAGCTTAGTAAAGAAAGCTTTAGTACTTCAAAGCTTTCTTTGATAAATTTAAATTGTTTAATTGCAAAAATGCTTTCGTGTGATAAACTATTTAAAATTATTATCAAAAAAGATGGAAGAATGAAAATGTTTTCACAAATGGCATGAATTGTGGGATATTTAAGATGAATTATCTGTCAACTTACTAAGTGGAAACATTTATGTAATACAAATATCGAAATATTTTCAAACAAAGAAATCCTTTAAACAATGGACAATTTAAATGAATACCTTTAACAATCTTTCTCTGGCCACATTCGTCTGAAACAAAGGAGTAACGCCTGGAAGGGTCATCAATACTTGGATTTGGTGTCATTGGAGTATTTTCACTTGCTTGAATCATTGTTTCCTCGGACGTTAATGCCACAAATTCATTGGGAAAATTAAATCTATTTGTACTTTCATCGACGTTAGTTCGATTAGTAAGAAACGTTTGAGAACTGTCAAGAAATTTGGATGAATCTTGTGCGTTAGAAATTGGATAAATAGCTTGTGATGCAATAGGAGTTGAGGAAAGAGGTGGAGAAGATTTGAAAGACTCTTCAGGTTCTTCGGTCAATGTTGAGCTGTTTGGAGGACTGGAAAGAGTATTATTGAAGGTTACGCTCTTCGTAAATTTAGTGCGCCGGGCCACATACCCCTCAAGTGTTTGGGCTCTCATCAATCGCTTCATGTCGGGTCGAGCGTCTCCTTTCACATTAACATTCTGTGTCAAACGATCTTCAGATAATCTCTTTAAAATACTCTTCAATTGTTTTCGTTCTAAAGTTTCATTTGATTCGGGACTGAGTGGAGATTTGATTGGAGGAGCATACGAGTAAAAATTAAGTGGTGCAACGGGCACTACAGGTGAACTCAACAGATTCACTCTCGGTCGTGTCACCATGCAAGACGCTTCACTTTGACTTCGTGTTAACACTTCAACCATTTCATTTGAATTACTAGAGTCAGTACAATCGAGACTAAAACTTCGTGTCTGAATAGCAGACTCGAGTTCAGCAAGCTTTTGACGCTCATTCAAAATCTTTAACTTTTTCACAAAAGGAAGGCCACTATATTCGGGTGATAAATCATCCACAGACCGATACTTTTTTGGTTCGCTTATTAATCTAAACGGCTTCGGTTTGCGTTTGATTTTAACGCTAATATTTGCGGTTTCATTCTTTATCTCGCTATCACTAACACTAGTTTTTTGCTCAGGTTTAAGGTTGAGAAATTCGTTTCCGAGTGCATTAGATTCGTCATGCTTATTAAAGGTATTTAAATCAATAGGCATTGAGGATTTGAGCGTTGTTTTAGACAACTTTGGTGAGTCTCCCGTAATTGAATTATTTAATGAAGAATAACTTCCACCTAAGCTAACAACCGTTGCCAACTTAAGTTTAGACCACGGCGTCAGTTCGTCTTTTGGCATGTGACTGAATGATCTGATTTTGTCTTTAAATTGTTGTGCCGTGGACGGTTTCTTGTGTTTTACTGCTGATGTTGATGGTAATAAATGTTGCTTCGCATCATTTGATTCAGTGCTTCCACTTTTCTCTTCCTTCCCACTTTCTTTCTGTAGATTTTTAATTCGATCTTTGAAAGACACTTTAAGATTTGTTCGTGATATTCCAGGTTCATGTACTGTTGGTGTGCATGTTCTGACGGTTGGTGATGTCGGACTTACACTAGATTTTCTTGTGTACGACCCTTGGGAAGAAACGCTTAGCTATTGGAGAATGAGAGGAAGAAAATATTGATTTGTTTGTGATTGCAATTTTCTAATCAGAAAAAAAGCATTTGGATAATGTTCGATAATATTGTCATTTTGTGGTCTTGCTTGTTTAATGTCTTTCGATTCGAAAGATAACAACTGACTTTGAGAATATAATCGTACAATTCCAAGTCACATAGTGAGAATAAATCAGCAACTCACTCTCGACGACTGACTATCTTTTGATTGTTTTAATTTTTCTTCTTTCGCTTTAAGCATTTTCAGTCGTTGAAGTAATGGCAAACCAGCACCTATAACCTCTGCTTCTGGCTCTTCTTGAATTGAAGCCTGTGGTGATATGGTAGATGAAACATGAGTGTGTGGTGGTGATACAACAGTGGTGTGCTTTGCGGCTCGCTCTTCGCGATCCTACATTGACGTGCAACACACGTTTTGATTTTTTTTGTACAAAACAAAAGAGGGTTCGCTTTTAATCTAAAAAGTTCTACTTATCTTTCAAATAGCATTTGAGTTAATCTCGAAAAATGTCTAAAAACTAAATCTATTCATAAATTAAATGCATGTGATTTGTGTGTCCGGTTATTGAGTGCTTGTTGAGCTTTAGTTATCTGAAGGAATTTAAAATAACTTTCAAAGTTTTTGTTTTGTTATTGCACAACAGGAATGAGTGAACATTGCATTGAAATAAAAAAGAAGAGAGAGAAAGTGACGAAATTTATTTTGATTGAATCTTTCATTTCAGTTGGAACTTTCTCAATTTTAATTTTTTTTATTTATCTTGTAAAAAAAAGCTTTCAAATGAAATTTCCCCTTGAATTGTCATTCTTCTCTCAATCAATGAACAAAAAAAACGAAAAGCGAATTCATGATGAGTTTCATTAGAAAAAGTTTCATAAAAGCTTTCAAGAATAAAAGAACGAGCTCAAGCAATAAATGATTGGCAAATTTCTCGATAAAAATAGAAAGTTCGAAGATTCTTAAAGTTTCCTAATTAATTATCTATTAAGAAAGGAAAAATATTGAAATTGTTCCAAATGAAATTTGACGATTCATTCAAAGCAAGCGATTTAAAGATAAAATTCCATAAAAGTTGTTTGTGTGTGATATTTTTTTTATCATCAGCATGTGAAATAAAGACATTGATTCGAATCGATTAAAGAGTATAAAACACAGCAATGTAATGAAAGTTGCAGCAAGTTTGATTCATACATATCTGCTCATAAGTTTGTATCTATTCACTACTGATCCTGTCTGCGTAAGCTGCTATTTTAAGCATTTTTGTGTCATTCATGAATTATATTATCGTTTTAAGTTTGAGGATTTATAGCGAAGCGATAAGCGTTTTATTTAAGGTGATTTGATGAAGCCATTCAAATGAAGATAGAAAAAAAACGAGCGACAGCGTGAAAGTAACAAGAAAGATCGGCGGAAAAAAAACAAGAAAGAAAGATAAAGATAAAAGTTAGAAGAGTAAGAAAGATTTTTTTTAGAAAAGATAGCATAAGTATTTAAGAAAGATTAATGAGATTTTTAGCGGATGAGAAAAAAAAAGAGTCATAAAGTTTAGAAACAATTACGAAATGAAGTGAAGGAAAAGAGAAAAAAATGAAACGTAAACTTAAGAAACGATACACAAAAGCATTCGAATCTGACTTGTTTTTCCTTTAAAAGTCGCAATCGTTGTAACAAAGGCAGACCGGCACCAATTGGACTTGTAATTTTTTCCTCCTTTTTCTCGTCTTTCGGACATTCTTCATCATCAGCATTTAACTCATCAGATTTTACCCTTTGCATCCGACGTAAAACTCCTTTAGGGGTCTTTGAGCCAGAGCCTTTAAGTGGTTGCAACTCGATGGACTCATCACTTCGTCTATGTGTGTTTGCTCTGTTCAAACAAAACTTTCTTCATCCCAAATTTCATTTCTTCAAACATTTGATATCTGACCTTGTCTTCTTCAGCGCATTCTTCAGCCCCTTAACATCGTTTTTGAATTTATCTACAATCCGCTTAGTGCCACTGTTGTCACTGCTATCTTGTCCCTGTAAAGCATTTGCCGCTGCTTCAGCGAGAGCTGCATCTTTTTCCTTTTTAGCCGCATGTTTCTTATTAATACAACGAACTTCCATCAAACGTTTTCGTCCCAAAGTTTGAAGAATTTCTTGGGCTTCCGGATAATCTTTCATAGCAGCAAGCACATCTTCACGTGACAATGAGAATAATTCCGAATCCCCAACAGATCTGACATCAGCCGTTCGTCTGATAAATAATTGAAATAAACCACAACAACATCAACTTCCAAAATACTATTAATCATACTTGTTTAACCCATCCAAGTTGAGAATTCCAATCTCGCCGAAGAAATCTCCAGCTTTCATCGTCGTCAAAACTCGTCCCGTCTCACTCAACACTTCTAAAATTCCATCGGCAATGATGAACATTTCCCTCGCTACCTCACCCTTGCGGCAAATCGAATCTCCCGGAGTAAAAATGTAAGCCTTCATCTTCAATACGAGATCGTGAAGAAATTCAGGTTGGCATTCTTGAAAAATTGTTACCTTTAAAATAGACGAGAGGAAAATGACATAACATTAAGAATAAGTGTCAAATGGTCTCAAATGAACTGAAAGGAAGAAAAAGACTCATCAAGTGGGGGCTTATAATGCCTTTCTTACCTTCTTCAATACACTCAAATTGACATGAAGTGCGAGTTCGGTCTTCAATTTGTCGGGTAGTAAACCTAAAGCGGTGTTAATATCACCTCCACCTTGTATTCTTCCACGTGACCAACTGTAATCGTACCAACGAAGAACACGTCGTTTCATGCCGCCAGGCACCTTATGATGTCGCATATAAGTCTTTGCACCATCCAACAATCGTTCAAACTCAAGTCGATTCGCATTACGGTTCGTTATCACATTTCCAACTTGACCAACAATTGTGGCGAATATGAAAACGCCAATTAAATAACTAACTATGGTAAAGACATATCTGAAAGATACAAACATAATTTCTTTATTAAGCCACACATATTATTGATCTCAAATATCACCAAGGGATGATTTCGTTTCGTAAGACGGAAGAAAGTTTTCTATTACATGGAATGTCCATAAATTATACAAATGAATTGCTTTTGGGTGTTGAATTTAAATTTATCACCGCTCGTTGCTCTTCAACCTTAAACAATGGCGATATTTGAAAGTTAAAGAGCCATGGAAAGAAACTTACTTTAATCTTCAAGTTCAGCGACAATCGTCAAGACGTTACAGTCGATTATCCCAAACTTATTCATTTTCTTTTGTCTTTGTTCTTTATGCAACATATTTAAGTATAAATCTAAATAAATATGAACTTTCCACGCACACACACAAAATATTCCTAAGAAAAACTTTCCTTCATCTTTCCGTCACGAACCAGATAAAATCTAAATGAAAGAAGATGGGAAATTGCTAATTTCAAATTCTAATTCTGCATCAATTCAATCATCATCAACTCCCCCATCTTTCTTTCAATCTTCATATTTTCCTTCTCTTGATAAATATATCAAGAGGGAGAGAGAGAGAGAAAAGGTAAATAATTCTATACAAGGGTAGAGAAAAGTTTTTTTTTATCATTAATATGAAGGGAAAAAAACTTTTTAATATCATTACTAACAATCAAAGTTTTCGAATATATTTTATATCGTATTTTTATATTGAATCACTCATTCGTCTTCGAGGCCTCATGTCAAAATCTTTCTTATTTCAACTTATCCTTATATGAAATCTAGTAAACAACATATTAACATTGGTATTACAAGTGATGATTTTCCCGGGATTATTTACATCCAAAGAAAGAATAAGAAAACGGAATATAAATAAAAAAAAAATCTACACGTGTTTGTTTTCGTTACGTGGAGAAAAAACTTTTCTATTTCCCGAAAAAGCTCAATGAAGGCTGTCGAAGAGAAATAAACTAAATTCGAAAACTTTGATTAAATTGGATTTTTATGGTACATTATGCAAGTATTTTAACGTGAAATGAATCAAGATAATGAGATTTTGTGGTTCACAAAAGCATCTTTTCTCAGTTTTCAACATAAAAGTATAGTTTAAAGGAAAATAGGAAAACTTTCCAATATTCAATTTATTTATTTATTAAGACACAAGTCGACCTTTATCAAGTGTCAAAAAAGTGTTTTGAATTTAATGGAAAATGTGTTTGTAGACATTTTCAAAGAAAATTTTCCGATTTAAACTCGAAATAGTGATTTTATGGTAATACTAGATTTTCCAAAGATCTTAAAAGCATTCAAAATCTCTTTTTTCATTTAGGAAAGAAAAATATTTATTTCAACGAATCCTTTTTGTATTTTCCTAGCTTTTGATCTTTATCGAACACTTTTCCTTTCTTCATCGGACGGGACATTAAAAAAAGAAGAAGAGTTTACTTTGGGTATCGCATTCCTAATCATCAAAATAAGAGGGAAATATTCTTATAAACATTCTTTCATCGTTATCAAATGTCATCATTTTCTCCTTGTTTTTCTTCCTTTTGATTTGAAAGATTTACGATATAAAAGATATTCGAAGAACCTTTTTTTTGATGTCAACTGAGCTTAAATTACATCAAAAATAATTTACCCATTGCAGGAGTTAAATTGTAGCAAACGTGATTTGAGGCCGCGTCGTGGTAAAGATCTGGGCCCATCCGGTGAATTTGTTTGTCTTCATGGATTAAGTGGAGAAATGGTAAGATGCATGGTGAGAAAACAGAAATTTTTAAGGGTTTTTTCTTTTGATCCCACACGACTTAATAAATATATTTAGTGAGTAGGAAGATAGAAAAGTTCAGCAAGTAAGATTATCTCTCATGGGGATACACAACAACAGTTTATCATCAAACGAACAATAACATTCCATGATGTTATTTCTTTACAGAAGAAATCAATAAATGCTCATCAATTGTGGTAACATTGAAAAATAAAATAAAATAAATAAATTTCATCAACACAATGAACAGATTGAATGTAAGGAAGAAAATTCTTTAATAAATTTATTTCCTTTTTCATCATGACTTACTCGGCATTTGTTTCTGGTGTAGGTAAATCACCGATTGTCGTTAAAGTGAGGGTTGACCAATATAAACTGCCCAAATATTTCCTACTTAATGTTGCGTAATCACCTGGACGGAAGGGATAAACCCAATCTCCCTGTTTTATGTTAAAAAAGATATAAGCAGAGTGTAAGCATTTGCATAAAATAATCGCACAAATGATGAAGTCTTCCATCTATCGTCAAGCGACAAAATATCTCAGGGGATGTTGAGTTTATTGGGATAGCAAAAAAAAAGTTTAATTTTATATGCGCACGAAATTTTATACATTATTATTCATGGCAAGTGCCAGAAAGGGTTTTTAAATGAAAATTATGATGACCAGTGGCATGAAAATTTAAATTATAAACAAAACGCAATTTACCTGAAAGCCTTCTGCTTCAGATAACAGAAAATAGAAGCATCCAAACCAATGAGCGAGAATTAGAAGAATATGGATGAGGTTAACAACTCGCCACAGATTCGGCCAAACCGTTCTACTCTCTACAATATAATAGTATTTAACAGCTCTATAAACCTGCGGGAGAGAAAGACTTGCTTAAATGAAATGTATTTTTATAGCTTTTTAGAAATGATTTCAAAAGTTTCGTCACAACTTTCCCCAACCTTCTTCATCTGACATTTCAATCGAACGTAACGAAGCTTTCTTTGTAATCATTTCAAAATCTTTCAACATCAGCAAATATTTAGCTTTAAGTTCATACACTCGCCTTAAAGAATCGAGGAAATCGTAATAACGGTTGTGTTCCAAAACGAAGTTGTAAAAAATCTAATGGAATCAATGATAACAAATCGAATATAAATGCTCGCGAATGCATATAATGACTGGCAAGTTTTTTGCTATCGTAAACCTATCGAGAATTTGACATGACAAGAAGGAAGCATGAAAATGTTATACAAAATTTAACAAATGATTAATTATTCATGAAACAAAAAAAGTTTTACGTACCATTAAACCCTGTTCCAAATAACCCGTTCTGAGTTGCACTACGACGTCGAATATGAAAATAACATCGCTCAAACTGTCACAGATTAACCAAAAATCTGACGCTCTCTCCTGATTCAATTCAATTTAGGTGTTGATAGAGTAAAAATATATTTAGATAAAAAATTCTTGTTTGATTGAATGAAAATTTTATGATAAAGAGACACAAATTATTCAAAATTTATGTTCATTGTGACAAAATTGTGCTATGATGTTCGAAGTGAGAGACAATCAAGACATACCTGAAGTTCAGGGAAACTTTGTCGAACAATCAACGTCCAAAAATTATATAAGACACATAATGTAAGCACCATTAACCAATAGAAATAAAAGTTCTCATCTGGATTAACCACCGAACGTGGAGGTTTGGAAAAGCGTTTCCGTCGTCGAACGATTTTGTCTGGATCAGGTCCTTCAGAGCCGGTATCTTCAACAGTTTCCTAAAGAGCGATAAATGATTAACAAAAATAATATTGACTTTATTGGCATTGAAATTAAGATAGTACTTTGTGGACATTAGAACCTACTTGAGTCTCCGGTATTTGTCTTGTGGAGAAGCGCTTAAGAAACGAATCTTCACGCTTGAGTGTTGGCTTTTTCGGAGCGATAGCAGATGAAATTTGAACTGTCGTCCTCAACTTCATCCATCTCTGGTTAGATTTTGTTCTGTTTTATCAAGTTGTGAATAAACAGTTGAAAGAGAGAAAAAGAGAAGTTTTTGTGTGAGTTTTCTGCTTCCATTTAAAAAGTACACGAAATAAAAGTTAGTCGCTATGTAGAGATAAGAAAAAAATCCGACAATTTTAATTGAATATCAAATATTTATGATGAAATATATTTATTCTGAATTGAGATAGAAGTCTAGTCTAATGGATTAAACTTGAGATATTCTGTGAAAGTTCGTTTGATGATGAAATTCACACATTTATCTTGAGTCAAGACTGTCAATGTCACTTAACTCCAGATTATTCAACCCAAATTTGATGAAATTCTACATTTTATTCATGCATAAAATTTAATTTAAAATTTCTCTCTTCATTTTTTAAAGCGTTTAGAAAAATATCTTCTGCATTGCAGCTTATGCAGCTCAAGCTCAGTCAAAGAACCTCACAAAATTTCTCTAGTTTTCCATTGAATGATTGAAAGAAAGTAAAAAGACTCATATCTGAATAAAACGTCGAACATCCACATCCAAGCTATGTTAAGAAGAGTAAACATCCAGGAGAGAAAGTTTTCATGTTTCTTGCGCTTTTCTTTGTTCGTATTTAAGTATTTAGATACATACATATATTTGAAATAAAGATTTAAGTTGAGTAAGAAAGTCGAAATATTTCGCAAACTCATCGAAAATGTGATGAAAATGGAAAAAGATTTTCATTTAAAGTTTCTGCTGAAAGCTATACAAACACATTTATCCACATCGATAAAATGACATTCATTTTATTACCATTTCCCTTCACCATGAAGACAGTACAAGAACAAAGAATAAAAGAAGAAAAACAAGTTTGTGTGCTTGTTTTTATTCAAGTAATAAGAGAGCGAAGTTATGACAGTTTACAACAACGAGATTAGAAGAAACACCGAGAAAGGAACACGGAAAAAAGTTTTTTGACGCAGGTTGAGAAACTTAAGACTGCCGGTAAAAGGAGTGAAAGAATTTGACATCCATAACTGCCCAACTTTTAAAGCTCTCAGTTGATCTTATTTATAGCGGAAGTGTGAAGCAACGCTAGTTGACATCATTTTAGAAAACAAGAGGGATAAAAGTATGAAAATTACTATAGCGACGTGAAAGATGTTGCTTTGACTTGAAGTGTAGAAGAAATTATGTTTACAGTTATCGTAACAATTACGACTGACGAGAATGATAAAAACGAAAGCAGTCAAAAACTTTTAGTGCGTATAATTAATGTCAAATTAGAACAGATCTCCATGATTTTCATGATTTATTCCACAAGATGTCAACGCATAGAACGTGGAATTATTCATTCCACTTTGTTTAATTTTAATTTCTATTTAAACAGCACAGCAATTTTTTATTCATCCCTTGACGATGGCTAAAGAAAAAAGGTAAATTTTCATTAAATTAGAGTCTATGTTTGCAAAAAATTGTGATACTATCGGTCCTAAAGCCATTAAAGAAAACACAATAATCTTCACAAGCCATATTTTCGTCTTTAACGCGAATGATAGAATCATGGTTTGGTAGTAGCGTCGACTATTAATGAACCATTAAATCAAGCGAGAAATAGCAAAGGCGAATTATCTCTACCATCGGACGTGACTCAAATGAAAGGATATTTAACTTAAACAAACTTGAAGTTTGTCTAGAGACTGAAAATGGAGAAGAATGAAGAATAATGAAGCTTCATTTTCAGACACTGCCAATTTCCCTTTTATATTTCTTAGTTTCTCATTTCTCCATAAATGTATTTTCTGTGTTTTGTGGACTTTAAGTTTATCGTCTTGCACAAGACTTAAATGTTTAAAAACAATTATTTTATAATGTTTTTCTTTCATATTTCATTAGAAATTTCTTAAGATGATGAGAGAAACGTTTAAGCTTTTGATCGCCATTGATATTTCATTTTCTTTATTAGGGAAAGTTCCACGCTTTGAAGTTTTAAACTTCTGGAGGTGAATGGAGGAAACTTGAAATAAAAGTTTTAAAATAAATTTTGAAGCTTTAGAAAATTTTTTGAAGTCGATAGTAAAAGATTCTTCAGAAGACGATAATTCCAAAATTTCGTGTTGAATATCCAACATTTTAATACTAATACCCGATAAAATATTGCTTGATACAATTTTCCTTTCTTCAGCTTCCAACTACGTTTTCTGAAATTATTTAATAGAATAATTTTCCCTAAATTTCTTTTGCACTTATCAAGCATACCAAACAATTGCAACTTAAATTTATTAGATAAATAAACTGGGATAAAATCATGTCAACGAATTAAAATCTATTGAAATTTTAAATTAATGTTCACATGAAAATGTTTGATGTTATAGTTGCCAAAATTTCTTTTTGTTCTCTCTCGCCATCAGCATCATCCCAGAAATTTTCATTGTTAGCGTTTGGGAAAAAAAAGCCAAGAAACAAGATATCTGTAAAAAATTATATTTACTGAAAAACCCCATAAAATAAAACGATGGTATCGATGAAAAACAAACAAAAGCGGTTTTCAAACAGAAAAAAATTATTCGAGAGAAAAATATCAAAACGAAGTTTTCCGTTATCAAACGCCCCCATAAATAAGCAATTATTCTTTGCTTTTGCTTTTCAATTTTTTATATTTTCTTTACGATGGGAGAATCAACAGTGAAGGAAGCGAAAAGCAGATAGAACGAACACCAACACTCAAGAGAACGTTGAGCCTTGAACTGATTTCCTCCTGAACTGAAGACCTGCTTATTGTTTATATTCTTTATGTAACTTAATGATGTTTTTGTTCGCTTAGACTTTCACTCCTTAAACATTTTGTCCTTCGTCTTGTCAAGTGTTGGTTCGAAAATCAAAACAATGTCACGTTGCTGCTACCTAGTGTTTCAACCATTTTTATCTCTCATCGGCAAACTTGAAACTGGCAACTGCTCGTGTCAATTTAGAGTTTGTGGTTTCCTTTTTCAAGACCTACTTCATTCTCACTTCCGTTCAAGTAAACACTGTGACAATTTTCTTCTTTTTTCATATCTGCTTCAACATTAACATCAACACCAAAGCAAAAACAGAAACAAAGTCGAGTATATTTTACTTAATTAAATGAGAATTGTTTCCATTGTTATGTGTCTTAGAACAAATTTCCGGGATTTTATCTGATTTTCTGAGTTAACAAATAGTAAAGTAAATTGCAAAAGACACTCAAAACAAATTATCATATACGTGGCAAGAGGAAGTAGGAAACTTAATATATTTGTGAGATTTACGACAAGAAGTCTTTCAGAGATGTCTCGAAGCTCAATGTCAGAGCTTTGTCAGCAGAGACTACTCCGTAAATCATTCAAAGCGACATTTGAACAATATTATTTAGATGTCATTGTCACTTCATGTCGAATATTGAAGATTTTAGCTTTATTGTTATTATGTGTGTTTATTATGTGTACGTCGGTGGAATCTAAGACAATGAATGGCTCGAATCTAAACATAAAACAGGTGGAAGAATATTTACAATTTATTAGAAAGTATGAAGGAAAATAAACATTGAGCTTCTAGACTAAAGACAAATTTCATTTCAGTATTTTTTTTTGAATGGAATGAATGCAAACAATTTAATTATGTTGAAAGATTATTTATAGCCCAATTTTTATCCTAACTTTAGCGTTTCACTAATTATATGCCTAAACATCGAAAAAACGAAAACAAGACATTCATTCGCATACATTATGAAGATAGAAAATTTTTATTTTGTTCAGCTCATTAAATACTTGATTAAATCGTATTCATATCCATTAAGGAAAGAGAGATATCATTACGTTATTGTTAATAATAGTTTTCATAGGCAATAAAGCTACAGTTAGAAATTGTTCCTTGTATGTTGGTTTAGATCACAACAATGAAAACGAAAATTCATGGCAAGTAGTAGAAGTAGAGAAGAATAAGAAAGAAGATTACAAAAATATCGAACGTGTTTTCAACGAGAACAGGATTTAGTCGATGGCTTTGTTATGTAGATATTTATTGAGATATCTTATTTCATTCATTCATTAACGAGTAATAAAGGTTTATTTGATTAAAAACCATAGTTAACGCATGAACGATTTTATTATTGAATCTTCTTTTCTTTAATTTTTACAGCTTTTTGACTAAAGCTTCTGAATATGAATGAAATAGATGAAAGAAAGCTTTTCAAGAGCTTTAAGTACGGAAGCTTTTCCCTTAAGTTTCCATGCTTCATCGCCTCAATTGTTTACCAAAATTTCAAGCATAATGTTTAAGAATTTACACTCGAAAGAAACCTCAAAAGTAACTTTTGGGATTTTGGTTATTAATTTAAAAGTTTTACAAGCCTTTTCGACATGAATCTTGCTTTCGTTGATGTTTGCATAACTTATTTGAATGGAAATGACGGTTATTGCCTCTTTATCTTTCGCAAGGAACAGTAATATCTAACGACCGCTCGAAGATTGTTCCAACCACGACTTCCATGAGGTTTTTCCATCGGTTCACCACCCTCGGCCGTTTCCTCGTCAAACTCGAGTGTATCGATTTCATCGCTATTTCTTTTAAGCGAGTCAATGTCAGTGTATTGATCGCGACGACGTACGGTCAGCTTTCGATCGAAGAACGATGTGGATGGATGTGGAAGACTATCACTAACATCATATAAATCGTAATCAATTTTTTAATATTTAATTTAATGTTTTTCGGTCATCACTTTACATTTCAAAGTTTCTAAAAGTTTTCACATTTTAAAAATTTATTGAATTTATTTTACCTGTTTCCGGGACTTTTACAATCTGATGAGTTTTGATTGCTTGAATCTTCTTCGTCTTCACGCGATGTACCCATTGAAGATATTGCTGCTGAAACGACGGTTTCTGTTGGGCTTCGTGGATCATTGCTATTTATGGCTGTTGTTGTGGTTGATGATGCCAAAAGACTTGTACAGGTTGTGGAAGATATTAACTTTTGAGGGTCAATTGGTTCCATCTGTAATGGAGCGAAACCAAGAAATGCAAAAGTGTACAAGACATAAATTTCAAACTTTTACAAGTCCAATGTAAAAAGGATATAATGAAACAAAAAAATAAAAAAAGTAAAAAACATCAAACACATTAATCAGTTGCAAGTTAAGGCTTTGTAACTTTTGTAAATCACAAATCACAGACGACTGTTTTTTGTTCTTTGTACAGCATTCCAATGCCAATATCCTTTCTTTCTGGTTTGGGAAAGAAGTAGATGGCTAAGCACAATGATTTAATTAATTACAAAAGGTGATGGGGGTAATATCACTTCATTAATGCTTTAAGGGTTGTTCACAAAGGGTGTGAGAAAATGACGGTTAGAACGTCAGATATGAAGACGATAAGCTGAGCGTGGGAGTGAAAAGAAACAAATTACGGTACAACCTAAATTTAGTATGAAATGCGAGGAAATATTTAATGACTTTAGCGATGCTTCTCGTGCTGGATTGAATTATTTACATGGAAAATGAAATGAAATTGAGTAGAAAGAAAAACTTTCTGTTTTTGTTTTTCTTCCCCTCCCACAATAATACTTGACATTTGGAAGATTCTTATGTGATGTCACGATGTTAATGCATAAACGGGACTTTTGATTCTCATTTAATGTTTTGCTTAGAGCATTTACTCGATTCGAGTGAATAACTTTGAGCAGATGAAATGTTATTTTGTGTCATTAACAAATTATTCCCTCATCATAGGAACTCATAGCTATCTATAAAAAAAAATTATACAGAAATGAATTGAGTGAAGTTCGTTTCAGACAATTGTTCTTTTTAATTGAATTCCGACGAAAGGCTGTTTAGAGTGATTGCATAATTTAGAAAGAGATAAGGTTAGCAATGTAGATAAATGCTTGACTAAATGCGAGCCATAAAGACAAAAGAATTATGATGAATTATCTCATTGCAATCACGAAACATCCATAAAAGAAAACGCCTTTGGTTGAATAAACGAGTTCATCTTCAGAAAATCCATCATTCAAGACACTTTCCTTCCTTTATGTTCATCCACAAGCAGATATTTGGAATTGAAATTGCTTGTTTTATGGCTACTGTTGTGTGCACTCACTTTCTCTTCACAGCTTTGAAAGCACTTATTCGTTGTTCTACAAATAGCATCCACCGTATATGGTCATAAGCCGCTTCGTTTTATTGTTTATTGATTTTGTGAGTACACGTCTTATATTGCCATACTTATTGGAATGAGAAGATTCAAGAGATTCGATGAAAATTGATTTCTCATATTAACTCGGAACAAAGACAGTAAATATAAAACGATTTCTTGTTCCGTTAAAAATCATTTTCCGTTGCCTTTCAAAGCTTTTATCAGCATTGTAGGTAACACCAGTGATGATTACTTTTAGTCAATTGAGCATTGTGAGTGTTATGAAAATGGATGTCATTCTAATAAATACTTAAGTATCAGGTCAATGGAAAACATCGAGAGAAAATACTAATAGCTATGAACATCTTATTGCAGTTAAACTTTTTAATCTTATTTTCCTCTAAGTTATCCAAAGTTTTAATGATGATGACTTTTTATGATCATGAGAGCAACACAAATTACAGCTTTTCATCATTCGAAAGGAAATATAATTTATCTAATATCTTAATCTTGAAAACACTGAATTATAGTAGTACTCATGAATGATGAAGAAGTATTTGTTATGATTAAAAGTTGTTTAAATTTCCCTCCCTAACGAGTTGTCAAAAACGTTGTTTACTCGATTATTTATGACTTTCATCATATCAACATTTTCTCTCATATCCTTTCCCATATATTTAATATACTCCAAAGCATCAGGAAAAGTTTTGCTCCAAACCTTTTCATATAATTCTCGTTACTTATTCCCTCATGTACCTTAATTGGCTGTCATTTGTCTCTTGAGATCAATGTTGATATTTCGCAAGAGCTTTATTGTTTTCTGCTCTTTTGCTGCATGATAAGATGAAAATCTCAGCACATCTAACCGTTTTCAAAACAAATAACTCTCTTAAGTCTTTCCGAGTCGAATTGCACAAGCAAATGGGTATTAGTGTAAGTATGAAACCGAAAAAGTAACGACAACAATGTCAGTTTAAGGTAGCGAAACATTTCAAGAGAAAAGAAATAAAGGAAGAAAATTTAAAGCTCCTTTTTCAATATTTCACCAGTTATGGGAGATAAACGAGATAAATTTTGATTATAAATTTTCTTTCCTTGTATTATTGAGAAGATGCTTCAAGGAGGAGAAAGGAAGCGAAGAGAAGAACAAAAATAAGCGTATTATTCGATGTTTTAGGGGTAAATATTGTCGTTTGCGAAGAAAAATTAAAGGATTTACCTCACTCAGCAGCATAAATTGAACGTTATAAATCTGTTTAGTAGATTTATTATGTCGTTGGAATATTTTGAACGATTCCCAATTGAATTTTCTGATAAAACCTTGTTTTTGACATTAGATAAGTGTTTCGGAAGCTTAATTGAGTTTTCGCTAGAATATTCAAGATTAAATTAGCATTGTGGGATTGATTTTCCGCTAAACTAACTTTCTAAATCTTCAACTTTATGGTTGATTTCAAGAGCCAATTTTTCTGATCATTTCATCGGATATCGTGTTAAACTATCAACCTGATAGTTAAAGAAGCCTATGAACTTTAAAACTTTTCTTCTTTTCCCTTTTCTCGCTGAACTTTAGCCGCAATGTTCAATGCGTCTTTAAATATCTTCTTTTTTAATGCAAAATCAATAACGATTATGACGTTATGCCGGTAATATCCAAGACGAAAATTAACACAACGAGTCAACTTAATAATAATGTCGGAGAAAGTTAAACACGGACGCAGTTGAAACGGCTGTTGTTAATTAACAATTTATGAAAAGTGGATGTCCATATTGTGCCATCACCGACGTGATTTCATTGTTCATTTTGCTAAAGGGCATCCTTGTAACTTGTAGAATTATCGTAAATGTCGAATGGTAAATAATATCAGAAATTTTCATTTCGAAATCAATACCATATGGCACAGATTGAATTTTCATCAAGTCTCGTTCATATAGGACAAACATGTTTCCCAACACGTGATGTCATGAATCAAAAATTATGAGTTAATAATTTAGAAAACAAATGACATGTTATTCTCTGTGTTTATCAGGAAGTTGATTATTAATTAATAATCACCAAAACGCACAAAACCAGTAATTTTGATGAATGCTTCCGATTGTCAATTATTTAGTTTAAACTTTTATTAATCTCGAATATCTACAACTTTGATACTCAATACATCGAATACTTACGAGTTAATATACAATGGCATTACGCAGTTTTAGTCAATTTATTGATTTCTCTCCCTTTGCCAGTTTCCATAGCCAAGCGGAGGAATCGTGTTTCATTTTAATAAACCTTTAGGAATTCTATTTCTGGAATGTTTTACACGCCCAGTGCCTCTTAAGAATTTTTCTACAAAGAAAGTGCTTCTTCGATGAAAAAGTCTACTCATTTGAAAATAATTTGTCCTGAATTCTTCTGCACCTTTATTCCAGCCTAAACCTCACCTTATTATATTTATTTTCAGAAATTGTAAATAGAAACTGTAATAACAACATGTAGTGTATCTGAGTAAAATGAATTCATTCATGTGATCACATAACGAAGCAATAAAACTTATTAGTCTGATCATTAAACAAAACAACGTTAATTTGTAGTTTGATTAGCTTGCTGTAATGTTTACACATCTCTTGTGAGTGATACTAGGAATGGATGTCTAGCTGTGTTTATTTAAACAAATAGTCATGTCTCATTTTCTTTCTCTTCCATCACATTGAGGTGAATCTTCTTATCAAATAATGCTGACGAAAATTTATGTGCATAGTGATGGATCTTTCTTACTTAAGAATAACAACACGGCCAATTCACAATTGTTTTTTTTACTGTTCACAGGATTTTGCACATGTAGCATGAAGGCAAACGAGGTTTGAAAAAAAACGAAGAAAGAAGAAATTTGCTCCAGGGTGAGATTCTGCGACTTAAAGACTTAAATGTACGAGTCGCGTTTTTTTCAAGCGCGGAAAAAATAAATTTAGAATTTATTGATATGGTAATTCTTAAATTTTGAATGAATACATTAAAGAAAGCGGGAAGGAACATTGAAAGAGACGAAAAAAAGCGCAAGCTAAATGCTTTTCACACTTTTTACATAGAATTCGTTCATTGTTTAACAATTTACTTTTTTGTTTTATTCAAAAGCTTTAAGCCTAGATAGGGATGGGAAAAAAGAAGACAAAAGCGTAAAATTTTACAGCTGCTGAGTGCTGCACGAGTTGAATTAACTTCAACAATAAATCAAGACATTTTTATTCTCCCTCGAAATGTTTCAAATGATTCCAACACTTAAGAATATGTCAAGATTTACTAATTTCATCATTTGCCAATCAAACTCATTGTGTGTGATGATCTTGTTTTGTCTGCCATCGTGACATTGATATTTTTATAATAACATTGGACTGATTATGATGAAGCTTAAATTTACATAAATAAGACGGCAGAAGTTGTATCAGAAAACGAACAAGAATAGAAAATTTCTAAGATAACATTCTGATTTATCTCGTTGAACTATGGATGTACTGTTAACTGAATTCAATTTTCAGATAGATTGTAATCCTTGAAAGAGTTTTCTGAAAAACATATCCAATTTTTATTTCATTTTACAGTATAAAGATCATGATAGAAATTCTTTATATTATCAAATGACTTGCAGAATTCTTCGGATTGTATATCAGAAATAAACAAGACGTAAGAACTATTGAAGCATGAAAAGTTTTGTACTCATATAGAAAAAGTTTATTTACTGTAGAGTAGAATCATAAAGTTTGTGAATTTGAAATATGAACATGAAAGTTTTAAATAATGTGCATTGAACTGATGAAAATTTTGCTTTTCATAAAATCTATTGCACAGTGCAATTGCCATTTCTAAGTTAAGTTCTCTAAGATTACTAATAAAAGGAAAGAAATGCTTCTTTTGTTCTATTTTATATCAAAATGTCTGCTTAGTGCAGATGAATAGAATTTTAAAAAAAGAATTCAGAACGTAAATATTTACACATTATGTACCTAAATGCTTTTAAATGACTCAATTTGTTAGAAAGATTTCTTTCAATTGTCTTTGAATGTTCTTTTTATCTCAAAGAAGTTGAATTTAACTTCTCTCTTTCCCAAAATTTAATACGTTTCCACCCACGCTTCTTTCGGATATTTAGCTCGTGGTGTTTTATGTTTTATTGTTCAATAAATCACGAATGTGTCGCACACCCATTGTTGGAATGATCATGTCCGGATCGGTTTTTATTACTCTGAATTTCAATATCTGACAAATAGCTTTCATGATGTTCCATTGTTGATCCCAAATGAGAAAAAGAAAAATCATGGAAAATATTTTTCGTTCTCTTTTTTCATTCTCATTCTTTCATTTTTATTCAATAGACCTCTTGTGAAGATCAGATTATTTATTTCCTTACAACCCTTGAAGATTTATGCCGATGAGTGTCATCAGATAGTTCCATAAAGTCAAGGTTTTCAAATAAAGCCATTCTCATTCATTCAGTCAACTCAAGTTCTTGTGCCATTTTTCAAATAAGTAAATAATGCTTTGTAAGCTTTGCTGCCTGAAGCCGTAAAATTTCTAAACAAAGTTAAATTAATTTTTGAGTTTTCTTTTTTAATTATTTACAAATTAAATAAGAAATAATAATCCAACAAACTGAACTTAACATCGTTTCGCTAAAATGTTGTGGTTTCACAAATCTTTCTGAAACTTTTTGACCTATAAAACATCAAGTTTTGCAATTAATTAGATATCTTTCAATATTTGAAGTTTTTGTTTAGATATCTATTTAGTTAGAATAAGAAGAAAAGAACATTCACAGACAATGTTGGGGTGAAGTGGTTGGCAACAACGTTTGATTGTTGTGAGAAGAAGAAGAATAAAAAAGTGTTCAAATTTCTTTCAATATTTTGGGTGACAAGTAAACAATTTAGATGGAAAGAGGGGTTTAGTTAATAAATTTTCCACTACCACATTTCACATTTTCGACAAAGCTTCGCTAATCATCAGGTTGAGTTGGTAACTAAAAAAGAAATTTTATTTAAGTTGGGAAGTTGAGGTGTCAGCATTTTCTTCTGGTGGTAACTACATAAGTATAAACACAGTGATGAAGCTCTGCAATGACTTTATAAACATACATTTCTATTTATATTGACCACAAATTATCAGCAAGGGCACACACAAAGTGATTCTTTCTTGTTAATGTTCCTTTACCTTTTGTGACGTTGGAAGAAGAAAACGAATTTTGCGATTCATGGCTTAATAATCTTACACAACTCTCTTATTTCTTTTTTTTCCCCGTCAAGATACTTTTTCTTCTTGTTTAATTTATGTTTTCTAAATATCGTTTTCACTAAAGCATTAATGAGAGTTTACTTCCTACAATCAGAATCATTTGTAGACCTAAAAATTCCGGAAGTGGAGAGAAAGAAAGAAATTTTATGAGTTCAAAGTCAGGAATCAATGGAAAGCTTATGTTTTTTGTTGATGTGCACGATGAGGTGTTTTATCCAATACTAAAAATGGGATCTTAAATCTCTTCTTGATATCTAAGTCTACACAGTCACAAAATTTCACACAACACATAAAAATGTAATCTGACTTGGCATTTTATTTTCCTGTCATGAAGTGAAAACTCGATGATCTCTTAATGGTTAGATGACTGTTTTTCTTTCCTATTTTTCAATCTGTTGTCATTTTTTATGATAAAGTTTACGATATTATAAAATTATATGGAAATATTCATATATATGATTTATATTACCAAACCATAAGATTAACATTAAAAAAAATGATTCAACAAAAATTGTTGATAGAAATTTTTAGAATTATGAGGCTTAACACTTACTGAGAATAATCCACTTGATGTATGTGATGACGACTGTGACGGAGCAGTACTTCCGTAGTGTGTCTGATAGCTGCTCGACAATATTTTTTTATGGGCCGATGCATGAGCTCTGTATGCGGAAACACTCAATTTCATATTGTCATCCAATTGTTTTCGTTGATGTTCATTTATGAAAGATTGTGATGAATTTTATTTCTCTTGGGTAGCTTTTTTGTTTGATACCCTTGTAGATAATTAATGTGCCTTTATAATTATTGTGTTAGAAACACTTTTTATTGTTTTCCGTTTCACTTTTTTCTAGATAAATTTTTTATTCACTTGACCTTTAAACTGAATTTCATGACTCGCCCGCTTTAAAACGGGAGCCCAATTGGATTATTCTTGTGGTGAAATAAAATCCCAAGTCATTTTTATGTTTGATGGTTCATATTTAGAAGCACTGAGTTTTATAGATGTCACAGATGAATGTTATTGGAGATGAGTTATTGATATGAGACGATAATAAAAGCATTTTATCTGTTTTCTTGGTCTGTTCCAATCATAATGATCTATTGATGCTGGTTTTTTATTTATGCTTTTATACGTGTTCGTTATTTTCCGTCTCTGAGCAGTGCGTGTCAAGGAGAGACAACGCATAAATAATACAGAATATTTTATTTCGGTTTTGGTAAGATATTATATGCTCATCATAAATGCAAGTAAATATTTATCCTTCAACTTTGAATCTATGACTGTTGCAAAGCTGTAAGAATCAAAGAAGAAAAATGATTGCAAGCTTGAATAAATGTCAATTATGCTACGATAAGTGTTCATAAACCGAAGAAATAAACATTGAACCTTTTTTGTGATTTGCATAATGCTTTTGAAAATGTTTTTAACATACTGAAAGGTTTCACTCTCAATATTGAAACATTTCAAGGTTTGAAAATTTCCAATTTAAGTGTTTAACATGTTTTCTGCCTTTTGATGACTAGAAATTATTTTTTTAACGTCAAATTAAAAGTTTTTCTTTTGAAGTTGATCATCTCTTTCTGGATTTTATTGTGTGGAAAAATTCTATGCTTCCTTAACGTTTTGACATGGAATTTAAGCTTAACTTAGTATAAAACGGAGACGCAATATATCAAGTGGATGTAAGCAAAAACTTTCCCATTTAGTACGATTGAAGTATTTTTTGTCTTCAAAGTTTCAGCATCAATGAAAAAAGAGCAACAAAAATTCACATAAAAAATGTATGGTAAAACACGTGTAGTGCTCTCGGAATGTTAATAATTCCAGACATATGTTTACATCCAACGCAAATTAGTTGATAGAGTGTGCAGTGGAATCTTCGTATGGCAAATGGTCGAAAAGAAATTATTCCCGACATGCTGCGACACAACAAAAATCGTCACAGTGTAATGGAGAAAGTGCTGCTATGTACTCTCAATTTTTTTCCTTTTAATCGAGTTGAGATCACATTGCCGGAATATTTATGAGACAAACATTTGTTAATGGCGTCAAAAAGTGAGAGACTTAGAAGCTAATCCATTATGTTTACTGCTTGGCTTGACGTCATCACGAACTTTTCCCATTGGCATGAAAATAAAATTATGCTGATTGTGTTTTTCCCTCCTTTGCATTGCTATGTATCTCTGACAAATTCCAATCTCAGAGAATAACTTTATTCCACAACAGTGGTCACAAAGTCTGCTGCATGAAATATGAATGAGTAACAGAATAAAAGAATAATAAGAGAATGAAAGAAAGCTTTAAAAGTTAAAGCAATTAAATAGCAGAAAACGAATATCTACATAAAAAAAATATTTCCCAGCTTTTCTTCTTCCTCGTAAATTTGCATTCATTGCATAGATGTTTATATTTTATTTATAACATTCAACAACTGCTTCATGCAACGATAAAAATCTTTTCCTTTTTTCTCATTCATTAATTCAAGTATCTGTTGAAGAAATGAATTCGAAAGAGTATCTAAGATAATCTCCATTAAAATATGTTAAACATGTCCCATGTTTGACACTTTCAATTCACTTGCGCAACAAACCTAATAAAATTTTTCCATTATACAGAATACTGATTATTATTACCCTCAAGTGATGGCCTTTTAACTTTATTAAAATGTGAGTTATAACTTGATGTTTCCTTTATCGTATTCTTTCGCTAAAGCGACCTTCTCTTATGCTCCGCGAAACATGAAATTTCGATTTGTCGAATGAAAAAAATAAGTTCGTTTTAAAGTCTTAATAAAATTTGTTATGATACAGCGGATCATCAATGTTCGTCGCCATTGCCGCCAACAACAGGATATTGCGAGAGTCAAGTGTAAGTCGTTAAAAGAAATAAAACAGATTATCTGAAGCTCTTCTTTCATCTGTTCGTTGATGTTTTAAACTGAAAGATTATGAAATGATGTTGTTTTGTTAGAAAGTATCTAAACGTTTAAACAATTTATTGTTTAATTACACAACAATTGTTAAGTTACGAAATGTTATTTTGTTCTTTCACTTTTAAATGGTCTCATTTCTTGGTGGAACTTTTGTAAAGTAATACAATTGTAAGATTCGTATCGTGCTTATTTAATGGATTGATAATAGTAATTAAGGCTTGCAAGCTATAACGAGAGAAACAACACATTTTCAAGCAATGTTTTAATTACGATACTTTGTATTTCCATCCTCCTACTACAATCGAGATCATAAATTAATTGTTAACAAGATTAAAGAATTTTGCAATAAATTTCCAACAAACTCGAGCTTTTGACAATTTAACACAAAACTTCACCAAATTTGAGATTGAAATTTTAAAGCTTCTCTGCTTTTTGCTGACTCTACTTGAAGACAACTTAATTAATTTTTTGTTGCAACTTTTTTTCTTCTTGGGGCAAAGATAGATTGAAGATCCTCTTGGAATATCGAAACCAGTATTATGATTGTTAATAAATCATTTTAAAACGAATTACTTTTGGGAAATAGCGGACTGACTTCATTAATTGCTCAATTAATCATCAAGACTTCTTTTTCTTTTATTTGAGGCTTGAAAGTAAATCTAAGGGAGTAATTACTTGGATGCCTTAATTTATGGAAGTGGAGAAATTGCATTAGTCTTGGCATTGCTAATTGAAGTGTGTAAATTTCCAAGAAAATTTTAATTAGAAGCGGCCAATACAAAGAAGTTTTAAAGAAAAATGAAATTACTTTGTATTACCCTTTTTTAAATATTCATAAAAGTCCTTCAATTTGTCGTCAGAGAATTTCACTCAACATCTCATTAAATTAAAAATGAACGTTTAAACATTTTTCTTTCGTTATAGTCGGTAGAATAAAGTAAAAAAGGCGAACGAGTTGCTACTTTAAGACTTGAAATTTTCCATTGTTGTCCGATGTTGGCATTTTGTCTTCCTTTTTTCATGGCTCTAAGAATTCCAAACTTAATCTTAACTCGGTTTATCAATCTCACAAACGAGCAAAATTTCCTTAAGTCGTACTCGTAATCGTATTTTTGAAATGGGAAGATACTCAACAAGACAAACAGCTGCTTTTACGATGCAGATTAGATAAAATCCTTAGGTTATCCTTAAATTTTGTTGCTTCTTATTCAAGCCTTCTCTTCTCCAGAAAAACGGAAAATAAATGCGAAGATGGCTCAAGGCTATTGTGCGAAACTCCATTCACACGAAATCTCATCAAAATCAATTTCCATCCAAGCCCTAAACCGAAACAAACAATGCTTCTTCAGCTCATTCCCGTTTAGAAAGTTTTTCATGAAGCAGAAGAAAAAATCACTGTCTTCTTTATGTTTGTTTCGTTTTTGTTTGACGAATAAAAAAAACTTTTTTTTTCTCTTTTTTCATCCAGCGAATGATGAAAAGTTGATTCGAAAGCGTTTTTGGCACCCAATTTCGACAGCAGCAAAAAAAGAAGTCTCGGAGGATTTAACAAAGTTTTTCTTTTTCCTTTTTTTTGTATTGAATTTACCACAAAATTGTTTATTTTCTTTTAAATTTCGCCAATTTCAGTAAAACGTATTTTAGAAGAGATTTTAAAGTCCCTCAGACTGAAATTGAATAACGAGAATGCTTTTTACACTTTGCATAGAACTCCTACATAAAAAGTTTTCCCTAAAGAATCTTATTTAATGATATTCGGATGATAAACGAGTTTTGGAACATTTGGCAACGTGTTCATAAAGACGCCAATGTCTTCAGATATCCCTTATGAATATCTCTCATATTATCAACTAACGTCATGTATTGAATGTTTGTCGACATAATGTTAAAGAATAGATGTTGTTTGTAAATATCTCAGTATATAAGCAGGAAGTTCACAGACAATTGGCAACAAATGTTTGAAGGAACGAAGAAAGTTCAAATGACTTATGTAAGGAAAAAGAATATTTGTAAGAAAAATCGAAAAGGAATAACAAAGAAGCACAAAAAGTTATGGCAACATTCAATCCATTGAGACATTTTTTCTTTTTCTTCTGCGTTGCTAATTTTGAACAAAAAGCTTTTCTTTTCTTCTATTCTTTGTTGTAAACATATTTACGTCATCCTTCTTTGCACTTTCAAGGATTGATTTTGTTAAATTTTCTAAAACATTCAAAAGCTTCTTTTTCTTTCGACAATTTTATAACTTTAACGAACCACAAAACCACAGATAAAGACTTTGTTTCATTTTATATCATGGAAAAGTAAATAAATCTCAGATTGAACTAATTACACTTCTATCAAATTACCCATAAAATAATTTTGCTTATCGCAATGTCTATGAATAAATTCATTGATTTGACGTTTCATTTCATGGTAAATTTTATCTAATTGAAAAAGCGAGAGAAAACAAGTTATTGGTTTAACCACCGCCCGTCTCCAACAATCTCAGATTCAAGCAAATTAAATATTCTTGAATAATTCGTAGAAACTTTTGCAAAGTTGAACAAAATGAACGATATGTATCTTAGAATTTAATTTCTTTTCTTATTTATGGTAAATAATCTTACTTTTCCGCTTTTCTTTTACTCTTTGTCATCTCATCTGACTTTCAGTCACCCCCTCAGTATGAACGAATATTGACCCAAATTTGAATCGATGTTAATGGCTTTATTTTCGCTCTTAACTTCTTTGTTGCTTTTTTTCTGTGATTCATAGCGACGATATGTATTTGTTCGTTCTCTTAAAGACAAGCAAAGAGCGCAACGTGAAAACTTTTCACTTTTCACTGATGTATACATAAATTTAAGGAAAGTCTCAAAAGATTGAGCAGCAGAGTAACAACTCTTGTGAATCTTCCCTCTTTTCTCTTCAAACAGGAAATATTTCATCCTTTTTCTTACGTCAGTATCAAGAAGTATTGATTTGGGAGCAAGTGAAGTGAAAAAAACTTATTTATAGACTTGGCAATTCGAATCATTTCGTGATGAGCATCGATAAAGAAGATTCAATTTTAAATTAATATTGTATGTCTCCACACCCACAATCATTCGAATAATATGAAATGATTCATTGTGGAACGAAACATGGGATGAATTTTGTTGAGAAAAATTATCTGAAGTTGAAATTAAGCTCCATATTCAATTAATAAATCGAATTATCTTTTTGTAATTTATGACACATATTAATTAATACTGTTCGGATATCTGTTTCAATGCGTGGATAAATTATATAAACTTAACTTTTATAATAAAATTCCATTTGTAAAAAAATCTATCAGATATGCTCGAATGGTGAAAACAGATATTTAACATCTACAATACTTATTGGCAAATTGCTAAACCCAACTTTTTTTATAACACACGAGAGTAGCCAATAGAAGTGAAATTAAATGATATCCGTTTGATTGAAAAATGATAAACTACTCCCATGGGTGAAATTCTGTATTGGACGAAAAAATTTATCTTCTTTCCTTTTGAAATTGATTTATAAATAAATTTTTCACTTCCGAAGGAAATTGTCTGCTTCACTTGTACCGAATTTTTAGGAAGAAAAATAAAACGAAACAAGGGAAAATCTAATTTTAAAAAATGGATTTTTGGGGAATGAAAAAAAGTGCTAAGAACGGCACGTTCACAAGTTAAATTGTTTTTTAAATGTAAAAAGGATATCTAGATTTTTGTGCAGGTCGAAGGTTGGAAATTGTTTCCCTTTTTCACCGAATATTGTGATGTCGTATTTTGTTTTGTTTCTTACTTTGAAATCTGAGATTTTCTCAGTTCTTAACATGATTGAAATCATTAATAAATTAATGTTATTGATTTTTTTTTATTTTTCATAAAAATATTGCAACGTAGAAATGATTTCATCTGAAAACGTATTAAAATTTCATTCTCGTTTGCTACCAAGGGAACAATACATCATGTCAAATAAGCTTTGAAAGATACACTGACAATAACAACAACTTCAACAAAAAAAGAAATTGTGAGATATGAAATAAGGCATTTTATTGTGCTAGAAAAACAACATAAATGGTGAGTTTTTCTAATCCTTTGCGCGTGTGTGCTTAGTCAAGTAAACAAATATTTTTTCACAGCTTTTACTGTTTCGTTTTCTTTCCTCAAGACAAGAAAAAAAAATGGAAATAGATATTCATTTGTGTCTGCGTAATTTCGCAAGCAAAAAAGAAAGAAAAAAAAGTCAACCAACCGACAGGGTGAGACGAAAACATCCAGAATATCTTACGATATTATGAAAGTAATTTCCCTTCAACGGCAAATGAATAAACGGAGACGAAAAATGTGAAATGAAGCTAGCAAAAAGAAACGATGTCAGTGTCGAAATTGAAATATAATGAGGAGTAGCAGAGTGAAAGTTCCATGAAATATGAGGTAGATGAAACTCATTTAAGCCGTTTAACCAACTTCGACTTTGCTCAAAGCGGATGAGAAGAATTTTTACTCAAGATTTTTCTCATTTCATATTTTCAGATTAAGAAGAAAAAAATTCTTTGCGAAGGGGTGAAAACGACGAATTTAATTTCATGTGCTTTCATCAGAGGTATGTGCCAATTTATCTAGGCAGTGACAATAAAATATTATGAGACGCACGAACAACGAAACACGTTTCCTTCTAAGCATATTCAACATAATTTAAGGCGCCATAAAACGGAGCATGAAAAGAACAATTCAATATACTTCAAAGCTGATTAAGAGGCTCTTTTCACTTTTGCTTTTGCATTTTCACAACGACTTTGTGTCTGTAAATTTTATCAGTCTTGATAAATTGGAAACGAAAATTGAATCGGAAATAAAACAAGCTGTTGTTTGATTTCTTCCAATAAACTGAGAAATGTGTTGCTTCACCAAACATTTCAAACAGTTGATCTGACTTCAAATAGATTTTTTACTCGTGTATGAGGTGAAAGTGAAGCACCAAATGTATACTCGTAAATGTTCAATCAATTGTAGATATATGTGAGCGACAGATGGAAGATTTTCCATGAGATATTTTTAAAGGACTTGTTTGAACGAGAAAAACTTAACTTGAAAATATTTCATGACATCAGTTCAACATGAATTTCTTGAAATAAAAACTGAGTTTTATTTTTTGACTTTCGAATCACGTAATGGATAAGATCGAACATAGGGAAACCAATGTGATTAAACTATAGCAAAGATATCTTTTCAATCATTGATTTCAGTCAAAGATTGCCATAAAATTTAATTTAAATTCCGAAAATGATAAAATAAAACACATTTCAAACCTTGATTTTAATAGAATCTTGAATGTCGTAAGTACATAAAAAAAGCTTTAAATTTCATGAATGAAATATAATGCATCGTAACCACCCACGTAGCTTGAACAAATTTCTATTTCATTCACAGAGTACTTCAAAACATTTCTCTCTTTAGGAAAAACTTTAAGATAAATAATGTAAAGAAATTACTAAGTTAGTTTGAAGAACACGAAGCATTAATATTCTTAACAAATTTTCTATTTGACGGCATTAAAAGACGTGCTAGGGAATAAATAGTAGTCACTCGTTGATAATAATTTGAATTGGGTTTTTGTTAATTTTAACTTTAATTTAGTAAGCGTTGTAAAAAACTTGACATGGATAAATGTCTTGTCTGTTTATTTTAAAATTATGTAAATTATATTGAGCAGCACCTCAATTACTTTCATATTGAAATAGACTGAATAGTAATGCGTGTCACTCTTACTTATGTCGTCAATACTTCCTCATTTGCGTGACTTTCAATCAATACTTGATCATTTAATTGGATGTAATCTACACACAAATAAAAAGCAAACATGATTCACGAATGGAAATAAAAATGACAAGAACCTTGAATTAAATAATTTTTTTATATGATTTCAAAAATCGATTACACAACTTTGACCATCTTTTCTTTAAATAATTGTCATTAATTTGATAACTGCTATCTAAAATTGATATACTCAGTAAACAGATATTAGTCAAATTATTTTTCTACTCTTTTAATTGAATTGAAAGAAAATTTTAATATTTATTTAATCCTTTCTTTCACAAGCACAGATTCCACACTCTTCATCAATTTAATTACAGTTATCGATAAAAATCTTATTTCTCAAATCTCATGAAAAATAATTATTATTTCGAATTATGTCAATAATATTGAAAATTTGAATTTTTCAAGCAAATAATTTGAGGAAAACCAAATATTTAACAGCAGAATTTATTCGACGATAAAAAAAATATTTTGATTGGAAATTTCGTTATTAAAAATCACACAAAAGCGATTTATGATAGCAACGGAAAACTGTTTTATAAAATTTATGCAAACATTTAAAATTAAAAATGAATTTGCTGTTAGTAACAACGAAATTTAAAGCATCTTTGTTCTCGTCATAATATGTCCTTTCAATCATCATTTTCTGTCTCCCATTTTCCATGATAAATGAACACAACGTCATTTTATTTGGATTGATTTACTTTATGAAAATCACGAGAGATGAAACCATTCATATAATGGTCTCATTTAAAATCTTTTAACCCTTCACAAACAAGTGAAAAATTATCAACACAATGAAAAGAGTTTCCAAGACAAACTGCTTTTCATCAATCATAACTTTTCATATTTTTTCTGATGGAAATGTCAGCAACTTCTACCTTTTCATTCAGCACTGATTAGTCGTCCCTTTGATACTTCTTGTTACTCCTTTTCACAACAAAGCTTCTAAATTTATCCAATAATTTGCTTTATCCTGAAGCATATTATGCAATAAGCGATTGATAAGAAAACGAAAATTTTTTGTCTCAAATTATTTCAAATTGTAATTTAATGTTGTTCGCGAGTATCCATTCATGGTAATTTATGTTTAATGCTCCAACTTTTCAATTCACTTGATTATTCATCTCACATTTATTTAATTCTTCAACATTTTTATTCCTGCAAATTCTTTCCCGCGAATCTTTTAAAAATTTTCTCTTCTTTCGGTTTCCAAATTCGTTTATTTTTATATTTAAATTTAACAACAAGATAAAATATTTTTTAATTTATTTTTACATATTTACACTAATCAACTAGATGTTAATAAATTTGTCATCTCAAACTTTTCTTTGTAGCTTTAAAGAATTTCTTATGAACAAGATAATGCGATAAACTCGATTCCGATGATAATTTGACGGAGTTCTTGTTGGCACTGAAACGGAAGACGGTTAGTATGAAATGATGATGCTCCGAGTGGTGAATTTCATTTTCGAATTTCTTAAAGCGCAGTCTCAACGATACTCAACATAAATGCATTTTGATTTGACGACGTGATGTTCAAGGTCGTTTACCAAGAATATTTATTTTATGCAACTCAACTGATGATGAATCATTGTTATTGATAAGTTTTAAACCTCACGCTTTGATAAAAATTCTATATTGTGAGTTTGCATCACGTTTACAAACAAATATGTCGCTCATGATAACAAACATGTGACGAAAGCAAAACAAACAAACAAGGTCAAAGTAACATCAATTCACAACGAATTATGGTGATAATTATTTTATTGCATTAACTGACATTCAAAAATTTTAATGTCTTGATTAAATAATAATCAATCATTGATATATTTTAACCAATAATTCTTCAAAGAATGTTTCAAGGATTATTTTTGATTACTTGAAATATTTCTTTTTCAGTCTGATTTGGAACTTAAAAGAAACAAGTTAAAGATTTGTAATTTAAAAAATTATGAAGTTATTCGTAAATTATTTTCATTATTGGATTATTTTCATTAATTTAACTTCCATTGTGAGGGGGAGAGATTTCCGATGTCCACTTATTAATGATCCTTTAAATGTGATTCACTTGCCACATGAATACGATTGTTCATTATTCTATAAATGTGATTGGGGACGAGCTGTTCTTCAAA